GATAAGATAAACATTGACAAACAGGTTGACTGCTTTACTGATTATGTCAACTTCTTTATAGACACAGTTAAACCCACAGAGACTGTTCGCTGTTTCCCCAACAACAAACTCTGGATCACAAGAGACATAAAAGTAATCCTTAACCAGAAAAAGAAAGCTTTTAAAGATGGTGACAAAGAAAATTCAAACAAGTGCAACAAGAATTGAAGAGAAGACTGAAGATAGCAAAGCTGGAGTACAAAAAGAAGATAGAGAAGAATCTACAACAGCAACATCCGTGAAGTGTGGAGAGGAATCAGTACCATCTCTGGACACAGCAGTCAAAAGAAAAGACAGCCAGTGGTGAGTGATCTGGAAAGAGCTGATGAACTCAACCTGTTCTTCAACAGATTTGACACTGCTGTCACACCCACTTCCACTGCTACTCCACCTTCCTCCCCGCAACAAATCTCCACTACAACTTCTCCCATTCCTCCTCCATTTTGTTCAAATGTCTCAACCACTTCAACTGCCTCCCTCCTAGAACACCAGTCCTTGTCTGTCACCAAAACAGGGATGAGGATGAAGACTTTGTCCTGGGAAGGCAGCTGGTCCAGATGGTGTGTGTCCAAGGCTGCTTAGAGGCTGTGCTGCAGAACTGTGTCAACCTCTCCACAGGATCTTCAACCTGAGTCTACATCTGGGGTGGGTACCTGCTCTGTGGAAAACATCCTGCATTGTACCAAAAACAAAATGTCCTGCTGAACTCAATGACTACTGACCAGTGGCCCTCACTTCACACATCATGAAAACCCTGGAGCGGCTGATTCTACGCCTTCTGAGGTCTGAGGTCAAAGACAAACTGGACTCCCTGCAGTTTGCATACAAAGAACACATTGGAGTGGATGATGCTGTCCTCTACATGCTTCACCGTCCCCTGTCTCATCTGGGGGAACCTGGGGTTAGGATCATGTTCTTCGACTTTTCAAGTGCATTCAACACCATCCAACCCACCATACTCAAAGACAAGCTCACAGAGATGGGAGTGGATCCTTCCTGTGTTTCCTGGATCACAGATTACCTGACAGGAAGGCCACAGTTTGTCAGGCTAGGGAACCGTGTTTCTGGGACATTAATGAGCAGTACAGGAGCTCCACAAGGGACAATGCTGGCGCCATTCCTGTTCACACTGTATACATCAGACTTCAAATACAGTACTGAGTCCTGCCACACCCAGAAATACTCAGATGACACCGCTATTGTGGCATGTATCAGAAATGGAAAAGAAGCTGAATACAGAGATCTAATAAGAGCCTTCAGTGACTGGAGTCACAAAAAACTGCCTCCTCCTCAACACCTCAAAGACAAAGGAGATGGTCATAGACTTCCATAGATCCAAACCCCCTCTTCAGCCAGTGAACACCTGTGGAGTGGACATCGAAGTGGTGACATCATGCAAATACCTAGGTGTACATCTGGATAATAAGTTGGACTGGTCTAAGAATATAGACTTCATCTACAGAAAGGGGCAGAGCCGCCTTTTTTGCCTGAGAAGACTCTGATCAATGGACATCTGGAGTACGATGCTGCAGATGTTTTATCAGTCTGTGGTGGCAAGTGTTTTGTTCTACGTTGCAGTCTGCTGGGGAGGAAGCATCAAACACAAAGATGTAAGACATCTTAACAAACTGGTGAAAAAGGCTGGCTCTGTGGTAGGACTCAAGCTGGACTCAGTGGAGGATGTGGTGGAGAGATCTACACTGAGGAAGGTGGAGACTATTCTCAAGAACATGGATCACCCACTTCACAACACCTTGATGGACCAAAGGGCAAATGGTGGTGGACGGCTCCTCTCTCTTCACTGCAGGACAGAGAGATTTAGAAGATCTTTTGTACCAACAGCCATCAGGCTTTGTAACTCTTATGTAAATAATAGATAACTTTTATAAACATATTACGTGAGACAACAGACAACTGAATTTCCCTTCAGGGATCAATAAAGTTCTTCTTGTTCTTATTCTTATACTTATTTAAAAAGACAAGAAAGTTCTCTGAAAAAAATGTCAGTGTAGAAGTTGCAATATAGAATTTTCTTTGATTAAATTCGAGTTTTAAAGTTTGCATTTGCTGGAGGTAAATGCATCAAAGTGATTGACATTATAATGAGTAATTCAACGTTGCAAGTCAGGAGATTCATTATAATGTACACATCGTTTGTCTTACTGACTGAACACAACAGAGAATTTTGACTGAACAAGTGCTGCAGCCCATTTTAAAACAGATTAAAAAAAAGACAAAACACCCCCTCAAACGCTTGCAGCTGATGACACCTTGACCTTCTCCATAATGTGAACTTTGTTGCTGCTCAGCTTTATAATCCTTTCACACCTTAAAGTTCATACTTTAGACAGTTTGAAGTTGAAGCTCTTGGTGTCAAAATCCTTTCCTCTATTTACTATCTGTGATCTGGAGCCAGTTTATCAAGAGTTCATAGCTTGCATTTGAGCTCTAGATCACTATGTCATTTTTTCAGTTAAAGTCTCCGTAAGTAATATGTGAGGAAACTATTGTTTAAATCTGAAAAAGAGGCTGAGTACTCTTTTTTAAGATGCAGATTATAGTTTTTGCTTGTATCCAACTTTAAATCTGGTTTATTGAGGTTATATATCACGTGCCTCTGTCAAACTGCTTGACTCCCACAGATTCCATCATCAGCAGAAGTAGCTGTCATAATTTATTGTTTCTATCAGCCACACTTGAATAAAATTAGTTCTTTTTATGACTAACCAATGCTTGTTTGTCTTTTCTTCATTAGCACAGCTACTGTTATATTTCTGTAGCTCTTACTTCCTGAATCTCTGTCTTTCCCTCTCTCTATTAGAACAGTTGTGGCAGGTCCATGTACATCTGCTTCTGTTTTTTTTTTCTCTTTTCCTGTGGCTGTTATACAATAATAGAGTTCTTTATTTTTCTATCCAAAAAGTATAGAATAGTAAGTGTTGGTGAATAATATAAGAAAATAATATTAAAGTCTGCAACTTACCGTGTATGTAATTAAGTGGAAATGCTGATTAAGCATTTCCACTTATTGTTATTCCTGTCGGCCATTTTCTTTATTGAGTGGGATTGCAAAGCATTCCCACTATATGTTATTCATATCTTTATTATTATTATATCAACTTCCACCGTTTTTTGGCCCTCAACTACTTCCACATACTTCAACATATTCAAACCATTCAAACATCAAAAGATTCATCTCATTGAGGACATTCAGGGGTGTATTCAAAATTTTCCTAACATTCATACTTTCCAAGATATTCCAGGTTTTCCGACCGATTTCTCCCATTAGAAATGCATTACGGAATGTTCAAATTGGCCCTTTTCTTCACACAACTTCAAAAGCCTTCAACTCCTCTATACTTCCACGTAGAAACTTCATTCAAAAACCAAAATATTCACAAATTCGTCAGCATTATTCCACATCTTCAACATTTTTAATCCCATTTGTACTTTTCAAAATATAAAGATTAGTTTAAAACTTCGTTATAATGGCAGTCAATGGGAAAAGGGCTTCAGACGTAGTCAACTTCAACCTCTTCTCATTCATTCATACTTTCACCTAGAAACTTCATTCAAACTTTAAAATATTCACACATCTTCAGACATTCACTCATTCATTCACCATCTTCATGGCATTCATACTTTTCTCACAGTGACAGTTCAAAAAGTCCAAAGATTTTCTAACCTGTTCAGGTTTTAACATGAGTGTGTATTGCACGGAATGTTGGCCGCTAGAGTGGGTGACCTCACAGCTAGAGTGAGACAGGCTGAAAATTGATCCTCAAAACTTTGTCTTTACAAAAGGATTGTGGCAACTCACTTCGCTCTACACAGATAAAATTTGGTACAGTGATGGCAAAACTCGCTGTCACTCTTCATCTAAAAAAATCAAAGCCATAGGACACACACAGTGGCCCGGGCAGACACCAACTGCCGCAGACATCCCCCAGATTTCTCCAGCTTTCTCCATTGACTCCAATGTAAACCTGAGAGGAGGATTTTCAGAGGAAACACAAACTGGACATGTTTTTAACTTGTCGTAGCAAAGGCATTTTTGGCTCCACAAACACAGAAGTTGTATCAACGTGTTCAGCCGGGCCTTGTGGTTGTCACAAGCTCCTTATCATGAAGACAGCAGTTACAGAGGATGAGAAATATGACGTTGTTTGGGCATTACGTTGTCGGCCTCAAGCCTCCTTTCTCCTGCTGTTGTTAAGCATCTATCGTCACCATGGCAACCAATAAGCGCACCTGGAGACACACAGCTGGCTGGAAAGCTGCTTCTAACAGCCATATGAGACACATGAAGCCAGGCTCAGTACACAGAGTACTGGGGGTTACATTTAAAACCCTTCAATAGCGTTATTTGACGAAATTTGTCATCTATCTCTTCGCACAAACCTTGAGCTACAGAAACCATCCAGAGCTTAATAAATTTAGCTCATTGAGGACATTATGGGGTCTAATCAGGATTTTTATTCATTTACATTGTCCCCATTTTTCAATCATTCATTGAAAATGCATTATTTAATTCTTCAAACTAATTTAAACTCCTTCAAAGTGATTTAAACCGTTTTGATTCTTCAAGACTTTTTTTCTTCCAGATTTGTAACCTTTTAATTTCCCAGTTTTAAATCATTTTTTAATCTTAATGCATGATTCAGTTCTTTCAAACAAATTACAGCTCATTTAAACTGATTCAAACCTTATTGATTCTTCAAGCCTTTCCCATACTTCAGGGTTTTTAATCATTTTAATTTTCAAACGTTGAATTTTTAAAATTATTATTCATGCATTATTCAATTCATTCAACAGAGTTTATTCAAACTGATTCAAATCTTCCTGATACTTCATACCTTTTGACCTTTCACATATTTTAAAATTCAGCCACTCGCAATAGCAGCGTAGCGATAGCAATTTCAACTGAAGCAATCCCACTCGCAATTTCTTCAGAAATTGCATTTTCTAGTTATTATTATTATTCTTCCGCCAATTTTTGTCCGCTATCTCCTCCTTCAAATTTTGTGCTATTTAAACCGTTCAAACTTTAAACTATTCCACTCCTTCAGGACATGAGGGCTTGTATTTTTTTCCTTTCTACCCTTTATACTTTTTGTTTTTTTTAACTTTTTGTGCAAAATTTGTACCATTGGAAATGAATGGGAAAATCTTAAAATCTACCTTTTCCTCTTCCACCTTCTAGACCTTATAACTTCAGCATACTTTCACCTAGAGACCTCATTTTTGCTTTAAAATGTTCATTGTCTTGTCGACTATTAAAGTTGTACTCAGTTTTTTGATATCTTTTACAGTTTTTCCACAATTTAGCTTTAAGCAACTTGTGGTTTTCAGCAAATTTCAAGCTTTATAATGGGTGTGTATTGGAGAGTTTAGAGTGATGATGTCATCAGCTAGAGTGCAGACCTCGTCTCTGATCGACAGAACCTCGCTCGAATATATCGCTCCCACGCCCACAAATCTCACTCCACTGACACAAATAATACATCAAAATGGAGGTATATGTGTCCTGCTTCTCACAAAAGAGGTTTCAAATCATTAAATCGTACCCCTTGGCCAGCAGGTGACCAACTGTCCAAAAAAGGCGGAAATCTCTCCCATTGACTTTAATGTTATTTTTCTCCAAGAAAATCCGGATCATCGCTCAAGCTCAGACTTTTTTAACTCGCTGTTGTGGCCTCATTTTTCGAAGTACAGACATGAAAAACACATCATTGTGTTCATGAAGGACGGAGGATTCGTACGATGTTCTTATTTTCATTCTGGGACTTAAGGAAATCACGCTATGTGAAGAAGTTCACAGGCTGAAATTCACTGCAGTTCAGCACCTCTCAGTCAAACAGTAGGTTAGTGATTTGCCTTTGATCTCACAGCTGTTTAGGATGCAGTCATTAACGAGACACACACACACACACGCACACACATTCTTGTACTTGTTGCTTTTTGAGGTCCACCTTGCAGTTCAGCTGCTTGTACACACAGTTAATATGTGTCTGCTTCACCACCTATCTCCACCCACAAACTTTGAGCTACAGAAACCATTCTGGGCTTCAAAAATTCAGCTCATTGAAGATATTATGGGGTGTTTTGAGGATTGTGATAATAAATTGTATTAATGTGTTTAGCAGAGTCTTGTGTTCTCACAAGCTCCTTATCAGGAATAGATACAGAGGATGAGCGTCAGGGCCTACTTGGAGTCCTGTTTCCTTAGCTTCAAGCCTTCTTTCTCCTGCTATAGTTATGCATCCAAGGTCCCCATGGCAACCAATTGTGCACCTGGAGACACACAGCTGACTGGAAAGCTGCTTCTAATGGCCAAATGAGACACATGAAGCCAGGCTCAGTACACATAGCACTGGGGATGACACTTAAAACCCTTTCCTAGAGCGCTTGAAAAAACTTCAGCCCCTATCTCCTCACATGACCTTTGACCTACAGAAACCATTCAGGGCTTTAAAATTTAAGCTCATTGAGGACATTATGGGGTGTATTCAGGATTTATATTGATTTAAATTTTTCACATTTTAAAGTCACTCAGTGATGATTTATCATTTAATTTTTCAAACTATTTTAAACTCATTCAAACTGATTCAAACCTTTCTAATACTTAAAAACTTTCTGATACTTGAGGATTTTTAATTAATTAAATTTTCCCTGTTTAAATTGGTTTTAATATTTATGCAATATTCCATCCTTTAATAAAAAAATCCCACCTTTAGTACTACAACTACTGCTAATGTCAATTAAACTAGTACTTTCCCCTCTACTTCAACTGCTATTGCTACTATTTCTACTTTCTTTACTACTTTGACTTATACTTCTTTTATCCTCAATCTACTTCTACTGCTGACATAACTACTAGTATCACGCCTTGACCTCTTATACTACTTTTAGTACTAAAACTTAAACTTATGCCACTTCTCACCTTCCTGCCTTTTAAGGCAGTTTCCTTCTTCATTCAAACTTTGTGCAATTTTACACATTTTTCTAGCCTCTTTCAGCATGAATAAAATTTCCTTTTATAGAGCATATTCAGACTATTTGTCCTTCGACCAATTAAACAATTATCCAACTTATATTTCTTTTTCACCCCTTCAACAGCTTTAACATTTATACCTTTCTCCATGTTTTATTAGCAGTTTAGCATTGCTTTTTCAGCTTTCAGCACTCAGCATTTCCACGCATTTTCTGCAAGGAAATGCAATTTTTCTAGTTAAGTGGAAATGCTGATAGGCATTTCCACTTATTGTTATTCTCCCGTTTCTTTATTATTATTATTATTATTATTATTATTATTATTCTTCCGCCGTTTTTCGTCCGCTTTCAACTCCTTCCCAGTTTGTGCGATTTCAACCGTTCAAACTTTAAACTATTCCACTCCTTCAGGACACGTTTGCTATTACTTTTCACTTTTCTAACATTTATACTTTTTGTTTTTTTTTACTTTTTGTGCAAAAATTTTAACATTGAAGTCAATGGGGAAATCTTCCAATTCTTCCTTTTATTCTTCCACTTTCTAGACCTTATAACTTCAGCATACTTTCACCTAGAGACCTCATTTTTGCTTTAAAATGTTCATTCACTTGTCGACTATTAAAGTTGTACTCAGTTTTTTTATATCTCTTACAGTTTTTCCACAATTTAGCTTTAAGCAACTTGTGGTTTTCAGCAAATTTCAAGCTTTATAATGGGTGTGTATTGGAGAGTTTAGAGTGATGATGTCATCAGCTAGAGTGCAGACCTCGTCTCTGATCGACAGAACCTCGCTCGAATATATCGCTCCCACGCCCACAAATCTCACTCCACTGACACAAATAATACATCAAAATGGAGGTATATGTGTCCTGCTTCTCACAAAAGAGGTTTCAAATCATTAAATCGTACCCCTTGGCCAGCAGGTGACCAACTGTCCAAAGAAGGCGGAAATCTCTCCCATTGACCGTAATGTTAATTTTCTCCAAGAAAATCCGGATCATCGCTCAGGCTCAGACTTTTTTAACTCGCTGTTGTGGCCTCATTTTTCGAAGTACAGACATGAAAAACACATCATTGTGTTCATGAAGGGCGGAGGATTCGTACGATGTTCTTATTTTCATTCTGTGACTTAAGGAAATCACGCTATGTGAAGAAGTTTAGAGCCTCTAAATCCTCTGCAGTTCAGCTGCTTCTCATTCAAACAGTAGGTCAGTGATTTGCCTTTGATCTCACAGCTGTTTAGGATGCAGTCATTAACGAGACACACACACACACACACACACACACACACACACATTCTTGTACTTGTTGCTTTATGAGGTCTACCTTGCAGTTCAGCTGCTTGTACACACAGTTAATATGTGTCTGCTTCGCCACCTATCTCCACCCACAAACTTTGAGCTACAGAAACCATTCTGGGCTTCTAAAATTCAGCTCATTGAAGATATTATGGGGTGTTTTGAGGATTGTGATAATAAATTGTATTAATGTGTTTAGCAGAGTCTTGTGTTCTCACAAGCTCCTTATCAGGAATAGATACAGAGGATGAGCGTCAGGGCCTACTTGGAGTCCTGTTTCCTTAGCTTCAAGCCTTCTTTCTCCTGCTATAGTTATGCATCCAAGGTCCCCATGGCAACCAATTAGTGCACCTGGAGACACACAGCTGACTGGAAAGCTGCTTCTAATGGCCATATGAGACACATGAAGCCAGGCTCAGCACACATAGCACTGGGGATGACACTTAAAACCCTTTACTAGAGCGCTTGAAAAAACTTCAGCCCCTATCTCCTCACATGACCTTTGACCTACAGAAACCATTCAGGGCTTTAAAATTTGAGCTCATTGAGGACATCATGGGGTGTATTTAGGATTTATATTACATTTAGATTTTTCACATTTTAAAGTCACTCAGTGATGATTTATCATTTAATTTTTCAAACTAATTTGAACTGATTCAAACTGATTCAAACCTTTCTAATACTTAAAAAATTAAACTTATGCCACTTCCCACCTTCCTGCCTTTTAAGGCAATTTCCTTCTTCATTCAAACTTTGTGCAATTTTAGACATTTTTCTAGCCTCTTTCAGCATGAATAAAATTTCTTTTTATAGAGCATATTCATACTATTTGTCCTTCAACCAATTAATCAATTATCCAACTTACATTTCTTTCACACCCCTTCAACAGCTTTAACATTTATACATTTCTCCATGTTTTATTAGCAGTTTAGCATTGCTTTTTCAGCTTTCAGCACTCAGCATTTCCACGCATTTTCTGCAAGGAAATGCAATTTTTCTAGTTAAGTGGAAATGCTGATTAAGCATTTCCACTTATTGTTATTCTCCTGTTTCTTTATTAAGTGGAAATGCTGATTAAGCATTTCCACTTATTGTTATTCTCCTGTTTCTTTATTATTATTAAACTTATTATTATTCTTCCGTCCCTTTTTTGGACCTCTTCTCCTCCTTCAAACTTTGTCCGATTTCAACCGTTCAAACTTTAAACTATTCCACTCCTTCAGGACATTATGGCGTCTATTTTTCTTTTTTCTACCCTTTATACTTTTTGATTTTTTTAACTTTTTGTGCAAAAATTTTAACATTGAAGTCAATGGGGAAATCTTAAAATTCTACCTTTTACTCTTCCACCTTTAAAGCCTTATAACTTCAGCATACTTTCACCTAGAGACCTAATTTTTGCTTTAAAATGTTCATTCACTTGTCGACTATTAAGGTTGTACTCAGTTTTTTCATATCTCTTACAGTTTTTCCACAATTTAGCTTTAAGCAACTTGTGGTTTTCAGCAAATTTCAAGCTTTATAATGGGTGTGTATTGGAGAGTTTAGAGTGATGATGTCATCAGCTAGAGTGCAGACCTCGTCTCTGATCGACAGAACCTCGCTTGAATATATCGCTCCCACGCACACAAATCTCACTCCACAGCCATAAAAAATACATCAAAATGGAGGTATATGTGTCCTGCTTCTCACAAAAGAGGTTTCAAATCATTAAATCGTACCCCTTGGCCAGCAGGTGACCAACTGTCCAAATAGGCGGAAATCTCTCCCCATTAGCCCTTATGTATTTTTTCTCCAAGAAAATCCTTATCGCCACTCAGGCTCAGACTTTTTTAACTCGCTGTTGTGGCCACATTTTTCGGAGTACAGACATGAAAAACACATCATTGTGTTCATGAAGGACAGAGGATTCGTACGATGTTCTTATTTTCATTCTGGGACTTAAGGAAATCACGCTATGTGAAGAAGTTCACAGGCTTTAAATCCTCTGCAGTTCAGCTGTTTCTCATTCAAACAGTAGGTCAGTGATTTGCCTTTGATCTCACAGCTGTTTAGGATGCAGTCATTAACGAGACACACACACACTCAGCCAATGTGTGTGCTTAAGCCTCTTTCTCTCTATGATACCTTCAGGTACACACAGTACATATGTGCCTGCGTGAGTCTCTCTCTCTGTCTATGAGACCTGAACACACTTTGACCATGTGTCTGCTTCACCACCTATCTTCTCTCACAAACTTTGAGATATAGACACATTTAGGGCTTCAAAAATTCTGCTCATTGAGGACATTATGGAGTCTACAGAGGATTTCTATTCATTTAAATTGTCCTTAATTTAAAATCATTCTCAGTCTTATTCAAACCTCTCTGATTCTTCAAACCTTTCTAATACTTTAGGATTTTTTATTAGTTATATTTTCCCCATCCACTTCTACAACTACTACTTACATCACTTCTACTTCAACTAGTCTTGCTACTATTAGAACTAGAAAACAATTAAAATGAATTGATTGAACCACTGCCTTTCCGTCGTGTGGAGTATGACATTTCCGAGTGTCCCTGAACGCCTCAAACATTAATACCGTGACTTACGGCTGGCTCGCGCTATCCTTCTCCGACCTCGACGAAGGTGAGTCAGAGCACAGTCTCTCTAACTTCTGAACACTTCAAACGGTGATGTAACGTTTCAAATGGCACTGGTTTGAGTTATAATCAATGAAGAGTTCATTCATGATTGAAGTGGTCGAGATAATGAGTTGAAAAAGCATACGCTAACGCTGTTAGCGTCGACTTAGCGCCGCTAGCGTCGAGCTAACGTCGAGCTAGCGCCGCTAGCGTCGAGCTAACGTCGAGCTAGCGCCGCTAGCGTCGAGCTAACGTCGAGCTAGAGCCGCTAGCGTCGAGCTAGCGCCGCTAGCGTCGAGCTAACGTTAAAGCCAACATACCTTCAGCTGTGAGGCCGAATCATTAGCCAGCTGAGCACAAATAAAGTGAATATGTAAGCCGCTGCGGTACTATAAAGCATGCCAAATGATGTACAGGCTGTGGAGTTTACTGACAATGGGACTGACAAGAATACTCATATTGTCAAGTATTAACTGACTAACTAGCTAACTAATGATGCTAGCGCCATTGCTACAGGTTCAGTTCATTACTGTGACTGAGTCATTGCTGGGGAACTGGTCTGGAGACGTCAGCTGTTTAGCTCCTGCTCACTTTTTATCAGCCATTGTAGATGTATTAAACTATAGGCTGCATTTAGCAAGCATCCAGGTATAGCACAAATATGAGTGGCTTTCCTTTTTTTATTTACATTGCAAAACATAAAATTAATTCAGTATTTAATTTAACCTAATTTACTTTTGATAACAAGCTGTTAATTTGGATATTGGTGATGTGCTAACACCACAGCAAAGATACTTTATCTGAGGTATAAGTACTTTAATACAGTATGTATTATGTGTGACATTTTCAGCTGCAGCTAACAGCCAGGTGATGTGTTGGAGCTGTTTAGTTTTCAATTAGCCCAACTACTGTAATAATGTTAGTTTTCTTTATAGGCCTATTGTTTTTAATGTGCTATCTGTCAGAAAACACTAATGTATTGTTTCTTGTCTCAAACAAACAGAAGATACATCCGCTCCAGTGCATTTGTTGGTAAGTATAAGTGTTTTGACCAAGACTGACAACAAACAAAATAAAAATAACTGGATTAATGATTAGCTTAATCCTGATAAACAACATGTCATTCAAGATAATCTACAACATATGATGCATTTTTCAAGTACTGAGTTTAAATTGATACGAAATGTTGATCTATCTGTAACACTGTTGTATATCCTATATAAAAATCATAGATGGGATACAGTTTTTTCCTAGAAGACAATAGCGTGCTAACAATATTACTACACTACTGAATTAGTGTATTAAAACAATTGCTGGCGAAAGTCTTAATCTTGATTGTGACAATAATTAAGTGAGAAAATCATTCAGATAAATTTTGAATGAAGTGGTTTTTTTAGTGTATTAAAAATCTCTTTCCCTCCCCTCCCCCTTCCTCCTGCCTCAACTTGTCCTCTGACCTGGGCGAAAATCCCTATCAACTCTGAAGTGTAAGTTCACGCTTAAAGTCAGGTCCATAAATATTGGGACATCAGCATAATACTCATCTCTCTGGCTGTAAACACCACCACAGTTGACTTTAAATGAAACAAACAAGATGTGCTTTGACTGCAGACATTCAGCTTTAATATATGGTTATTTACATCCACATTAGGTGAAAGGTGTAGGAATTAAAACAGTTTGTGTATGTGCCTCTCACTTTTTAAGGGACCAAAAGTATTGGGACAAACCAAAAATCATACATCAAACTTTCACTTTTCAATATATGAAAAGCAAATCCTTTGCTGTCTAAGACAGATAGATACACCAGACGCTGGGTTTCACCCCTAGTGTTGCTCTGCCAGGCCTCGACTGCAACTGTCTTCAGTTCCTGCTTGTTCTTGGTGCATTTTCTCTTTAGTTTTATCTTCAGCAAGTGAAAGGCATGCTCAAACGGATTCAGGTCAGGTGATTGACATTTCATAACATTCCACTTCTTTGCCCTACACCGTGCACCTGATTTGGATGTAAATACCCTTAAATTAAAGCTGAATGTCTGCAGTCAAAGCACACCATGTTTGTTTCAGTTCAAATCCATTGTGGTGGTGTTTACAGCCAGAGAGATGAGAATTGTGTTGACGTCCCAATATTTATGGACCTGATGGTATATATATATATACTTATTGGGCAATCACTTAAATGTTACATTTTTGCTCTGCAGTTTATAATTATATTTCACTGTTTTGTATTTCACCTCAATAATTTGCATAAGAAAGTAAAAAGTGAAGAGGTCCTTCATTGTGTTTGTGCATTTTCTCTCCATTGTAACAAACATTTTTTACAGGCCAAGGGAGCTGCAGTAACATCCTTTTACTAATCAAGTGCCACAAATTGTAGACTTTGATAAGAAATGAGAAAACTAATGATCCACAGTGAAAAGTTGTGATTGCAGTAAACTATAAGATGCTGATTTTTTTGCAACTAAATTTATTTACTTTTTGTCCCTGTCTTTTCTCTCCTGAACTCGATGCTATCTCTACTGCGGGCCCAGTTCAACGTTGGCAACTCAGCTGTAAGTTCACAAATAAAGTAACTTAAAAATGTTTACACTGTTACTTTTTTAAACATATCATGTAAAAACCTGACATTATGTTCTTATTTGACAAACTGCAACACATTTTCATTGTAACACAAACCATTTTAAATAACACTTAATTAATTTTGCCGGCTGACTACAGTTGAAACTGCAATGCAGTGAGATACAATTAAACTAAAAATCTCTTGTCTCTATTTTTCCATTTTCCTTTTTGCCAACTTTGTCCTATCTCCAAGTGCAGACCGCTTTGTGGCGACTCGACGTAAGTTCACACAGGAATTACATTTTCATCAGTAATACAGTGTGCCATTATTCAACACATTATGGACCCCTCATCATGTCCTAACTTAACAATTTGTTTCCTTTGATTATGTAATACTCACAGTTGGAAATGAACAGCTTGAATGTAATATGCAGTACACTTATTTGCATTTCATTTCCAATCCCTGGAAAGCAATTTATTACTATTAGATTGTGGAGTTGGAATTTTTTAACGATGAAAATCCAAATAATTACTAATTGAATGTGATTCCCTCCTTTGTGCATCTCTCATATTAAAAAAAACAAGCAAATTTAATGTTCTTTAATATGGAATAGACAATCATTATTTATGCAGCCATTGATTTATTTTATTATTCATTTAATCCTATGTTTAGATATGTGTATATCCTTCTAAGGTACCTTGCATGCTTCTGTTTACAGCCCATGGAGGTGCTTGGCCTCATTACTACTTTTTACATTGTTGGAATACTTAAAACACAGTAAAGGAAATTACCTTCTCCAAAATACATAATATTTTATCAGCAGAGTAATCCATTGTTACTTTTGCTTAGCAGGACATGGTTATGAACATTATAAAGGGAACTTAAAGTACTTAAAGAGTCTAAAATACACAGGGATAATAGAACTTTTTGTAAAATACTTTGAGGTCCTAAATTTAAAAAGGTGGCTCTGTGGTTGGATTCAAGTTGGAGTCACTGGAGGATGTGGTGAAGAGATGTACTGTGAGGAAGGTGGAGGCTATTCTAGAGAACATGGATCACCCACTTCACAACACCTTGGTGGACCGAAAGGCCTATGTTGGTGGACGGCTCCTCTCTCTTTGCTGCAGGGAAAAAAGATTCAGAAGATCTTTTGTACCCACAGCCATCAGACTCTACAATTTGAATAGTAGATGACTTTTTGAGACATGACAAATGAGACTACAGACAATTGAATTTCCCTTAGGGGATAAATAAAGTTCTTCGTATCTTAAATTAATTTTTGATTAACTCTCATGAGCACTTTGGATTTTTAGTTCTTATTAATTTGATTGATGGGTTATCAAACAGGGCAATGGTCAATTCCAGAATTTGACTCAACTTGGCTTTTGATAGATGTATAGTTAAGGATAGCCATGTGGTGGGTTAAGTAAAAGCACATAATATTGACATTAGCTTTAAATGGATGTTGGTTCATTTTATTTCTTTTATAAAAAATGATTCATGTTTGTTTTCATTGTGTCTTACAGGTATCCTGTCCAGTCTCCCCACTCTCCCCTATCTTTTTGGCTGCTCTGACTTTCCTGTCTCCTCTACCGCTCTGTCTGATTGAAAAGCCACTCTATCTTGTATCCCCCTTTTCTCTATCCCTCTAACTAAGTTTTGGATGCTCTGACTTTCCTGTCTCCTCTACCGCTCTGTCTAATTGAAAAGCCACTCTATCTTGTGTCCCCCTTTTCTCTATCCCTCTAGCTAAATTTTGGACGCTCTGACTTTCCTGTCTCCTCTGCCGCTCTGTCTAATTGAAAAGCCACTCTATCTTGTGTCCCCCTTTTCTCTATCCCTCTGACTAAGTTTGGTTACTCTGACTTTCCTGTCTCCTCTACCGCTCTATCTGATTGACAAGCCTTTCAGAAACCATTGTAACAAGCCTTTAAGAAACCATTGTAACAAGCCTTTCAGAAACCATTGTAACAAGCCTTTCAGAAACCATTGTAACAAGCCTTTAAGAAACCATTGTAACAAGCCTTTCAGAAACCTATTGAAATTGCCTCTATTGAGAAACCATCTTATGAAACTGCTTCCATTGAGAAACCTATTGAAACTGCTACCTTTTTGAGAAACCTTTTGAAACACAATTTTTTGGAAATATTTTAATAAATCATTTTGAGAAACCTTTTGCTAACCCCTTTTTGAGAAACATTTTGATATACCATTTTTGAGAAACCTTCTGATAAACCTTTTGAAACACAATTTTTGAGAAACCTCTTGATACACTGTTTTTCAGAAGCCTTTTGATAAACCTTTTGAAACACAATTTTTGAGAAACCTTTTAATAAACCATTTTTGAGAAATCTTTTGATAAACCAATTTTGAGAAATCTTTTGAGAAACCTTTTGAAACACAATTTTTGATAAACCATTTTTGAGAAATCTTTTGATAAACAGTTTTTTCAGAAACCTTTTGATAAACCTTTTACAATACCACTTTTGAGAAAACCTTTGATAAACCTTTTTGTAAACCATTTTTTAAACCATTTTTGAGAATCCTTTTGAAACACCATTTTTGAGAAACCTTTTGAAACTGTTTTACTTCTTATACAACCACTACTTTGAAAAATCCCTAATTTTGCACAAGTCTGATTGTTGTTTTAGGTCCTCCTTTCCTGTGTGTGGATCCAGAGTTTCACCAGAAGTGTCATCAGCACCACCACATCTGCATCCCTGATTTTGAAAGAAAAAAAAAAAGTTCCATATAGAATATTTGAGTTAGATATTATTTCAAGCTCAAAGTTCTAAGATTTAAAAATTGTTGATTTGTGTTTTTTCTGAAAACATTTATATAGTCTTGTGTAGGATTTTCTTATAAAACATTTGATAAACTATTGTGGTATACACACAGTTATAAATTAGATTTTTTGGAGACTATAAGAGCTGTTAAATAACGTCCTCTTGAAGAAATAAAGCATTTTTGTCTTTACTGGTGCTTGTCATTAACTTTTAATTGTTGCATAAACACATTGTTGTGAAAGAATAGTTACAATGCCAAGGAAGAGTAAGAAGTCACAGGCTGCAAGCCAGCGCTGGCAGAGGGTTCATGACATTGATTGTGTGAGTACTGGACAAACAGATGGTGTTCCTCAGAGTAGTGGAGAGGTAAAGAGGTCTGAAGTGTCTGATGCTGTGAAACAGGGAGGTCCAAGTGCATCATGTCAACCACAGGCATCTTATGCAGATGTGAGTGAGTCACTTGCAGCAGGTCCATCTAACTCTGAACAGGTAAACCACAGATGTGAAAGTAATGATCCAGGTGCGCAACAGGTAACATATGCAGACATGTTGAAGAGAAAAGTTCCTCGTGTGTCATGTACTGCCGGTCCGTCCAACTCTCGTCAGATAAACTACGTAGCCCAAACTGACAAGCCATTTTCAACCCAGGTATCGTATCCAGACACAGTTAACCACCGTAATTATCAGTCTGTATCAGCCTCTTCTCAGCCAGGAAATATTAACGCTGTTAATAAGTCAGGTGAACAAAATGTCTGTGCGTCACGCAGCCAAGCGTCTCTGAAATACGGCCGATCCAGAAACCAGCAGTGCACCTGTAACTCACTGACATTTCTAGCATTCCTGTATGAGAAAGAACACATCACCAGAGCAGATCTGGACCGTGTTTTGGATAAAGGTGATGCGATGTACAGAGAAATCAGAAAAACTGTTGATCACGCCCATCTGACAACCGATGAGCTCCCTGACCAGGTTCCTGCCCGCAGACACATGCAGACTGTTGACAAGTTACAGCTGTCTAGATACGGTACGTTTGGAGATCCAGATCCCGGAGCTGTTGATACCTTTCTGGACCTCGAGATGGGACTGAGCTGCTTATTATCAGATGTGCAGTATGCTTTGCTGCTAATGACTTCACTGTGCATTGCAGTTTTCAGAACCAGAGATGGCAGGTACGGTTTCTTTGACCCACATGCTAGGACAGCTAACGGTTTGCCTCTGCTTAAGGCCACACCTACTCCTGGTACCGCTGTCATGGTAACATTCACACGCCTCAGTGACATGATTCAAAGGCTCATCAGGTATCACCACATATTGGGCACAGCAGCGTCCTGTAACTATGAGCTCAAGCCAGTTGTGTTCTGTGATGTGAACCCAAGTGATGCTATCCCAGCCACAGAAAGTCCGTCCACAAGTCCCTCTGTCACAACCACTGTGATAAATGATGACACAAGTGCCCCACAGATGAACACTGATGTCCATGAAAACACTGAATGGGACATGGAAACTGAACCAGAACCACTAATCAACTTCAACCAGTGTTCTGTCACATTAACTGGTCCTGAATTTCTCACTCCAGAGATTGACACTATTGTAAGTGATGACAGATCACAGAAAGCCTCAACTTTGATGGAAACTCAAGCTCATCAAACAGGTCAAATCAACAATAATTCTGTCCCATTAGAGGAAACTCAACAGAACCAATCAAATTTGACACAACCATTGATAATGATCCCCGTTGCTAGTGACAAAGTTATCCATGACATCTCCACTAAACTGTCAAAATTAAGCAAACAGCAAAAAAAGAAATTTAAGAGGAGACTAATGAGATCCGGAAAGACATTTGAAAAGAAAGAGAATCAAAAAAGGAGAGAGAGAGAAAAGTATGCTAAGAATGAAACATATAAAGCAAAGAAAAAGTCTTATTCAAGTAACAAATATTCTGTAAATCCTGAGATACGGACAAAGAAAAGACAAAAGATCACATCTAAATATAGAGAAAGCACAGACTTCAGACTGAAACAAAAAGAATATATCACACGAAAATACAGGGAAAATGTCGATTTTAAAGGCAGACAAAAAGAATATATCACCAAAAAATACAGAGAAAATGTTGATTTTAAAGGCAGACAAAAGTTAAATTTCAGGAAAAGATATGGAGAAAATGTTGATTTTAAAGGCAGACGAAAAGAATATTTCACGAAAAAATACAGAGAAAATGTTGATTTTAAAGGCAGACAAAAGGAATATATCAGGAAAAAATACAGAGAAAATGTTGATTTTAAAGGCAGACAGAAAGAATATATCAGAAAAAAATACTCAGAGGACGTTAATTTCAGGCAAAGACAGCAATCATATATCAATCATCGATATGCAAATGATGAAATATTCCGGAACCGACACAGACAGCTGATGAGACAAATGATGCGAGACAGGTATAAGACAAATCTTGCATACAGGACAATGCATAAAATCAGATGTGCATTGAAAATATCAAAGAAATACAAACGGATAAGTAAACAAGCACATGAGACTGACAGAGAGAGTGAAAACCCACTTATTGAAAGTGCCATAAATGATTTCCGTTCACACATTAAAGCTGGTCCCACCCATGTTTGCACAGTTTGTCACAAAGCCTCATTTCCAAACCAGGTGCAAAAGTGCAAGAGGTCCAACTATGTGAAAAATCCAATCATGGTTTCAGCTTGTCTCAAAGGTCAGTACGTCCATGATTGTAATGATGACTGCAGAAATCAGTGCACTGTCCCTGATGAGAGAAAGACTGAGTGGATTTGTCACACCTGCCATGACCATCTGAAAAATGGAGCCATGCCCAAACTTGCCATAGCTAATAACTTGGAGCTTGCTGACATACCACCTGAGCTGTGTGACCTCAACATACTGGAGAGACATCTGATAGCAAAGTGCATAACATTTGCCAAAATCATTCCTCTTCCCAAAGGCAGACAGAGAGCTATACATGGTAATGTTGTATGTGTTCCCTCTGAAGTCCAGGAAACAATTCAGGCTCTACCCAGATTGAGAAATGAATCTCAGGTCATGAGAGTAAAACTGAAGAGACGTTTGAGTTACAGAGGTCACCATCTGTTTCAGACTGTTACCTGGTCCAAGCTAGTGCAGGCTCTGCATAAACTGAAAGAGATACACCCCCAGTATGAAGACATCACTATTAGAGATGAGGAGGAGTTATGTGACCCCACACTTCCTGATGATGGTGATGAGGATGAGGATGAGGATGATGGTAATGATATTACAATGAATGATGACGACTATGATGATGAGGATTTGATGGAAATTGATAGAATTGAGGCTGCTGCCATGTATGAGGCTGAAACTAATGTTGAAAATGAGGATGAAAACACAGAGCTGTGTGATAAAAGTCAGACCCAGGACAATGATGATCAGACACAACAACAGGATGCAGATGCAGACATATCTAATGGTGGTGTTGTTTTGGAGTCGTGCCTTCAGCCACGTGATGTTTCTGAGGAGATACTGTGTTTCAGTGACTCTACATACTCAGTAGCTCCAGCAGAGAGAAACAATCCAGTCAGTTTTTTCAAAACTCCCAAACTAGAGGCCATGGCGTTTCCTGTTCAGTTTCCCACTGGTGAGAATACACTGGATGAAAACAGACCAATGAAACTATCACCCAGTAGTTATTTTAAAGCAAGGCTCTTTGGTGTCGATGATCGCTTTGCCAAAGATACCAACTACCTGTTCTTTGCACAGTTTGTGACTGAAATACACTTGGCTACCTCCAGCATGTCAATACAGTTACGCAAAGGCAAACCTTTGACCAGAGACGGACGTAAAATAACATCCAGAATGTTGAGAGACAAATATGAAGTGGAGAGACTGGTGAGAAACAGAGATGCTATCAGATTTATGCAGCCGCTCAGAGGAACACCAGCCTACTGGGACAAAACTACAAAAGATCTGTTTGCTATGATCAGACAGTTGGGCAGTCCTACTTTCTTTGTCACATTTTCTGCAGCAGAAATGCGTTGGCCTGAGGTGATTATTGCTATAAAATCACAACAAGGTGAGGAAGTGAATTTTGAGGAGCTCGACTGGTCCACAAAGTGTGACATTCTGAGAAGCAATCCTGTGACAACGATGCGCATGTTTGATAAGCGTGTTGAAGCACTGTACAGAGATCTGATCATGTCTCCTGCACAACCCCTGGGCAAAGTTTTTGACTTCTTTTGGCGTCTCGAGTTTCAACACAGAGGAAGTCCTCATATACATGGTCTTTTGTGGGTAGAAGGTGCACCTGTGTTTGAGAGAGACTCTGACAAAACTGTGTGTGACTTTGTGTCCAAACACATCTCTGCTCAGCTCCCTGACCCAAATAAACAGCCTGAACTGTACAAAAAGGTCAAAGAAGTGCAAATACACAGTAAGAACCACTCAAAGACATGTTTCAAAAGTGCAAGTTCTGGATGCCGATTTGGATTCCCAAAACCACCCTCCAGACAGACAATGATAACAAGACCTGTGGGTGATGATGAGGAGTCAGAGAGACTTAAGAGAGCCAAAGAGAAACTTGCACCACTGAATCAGCTGCTGAATGAGACACAAACTGAATCCATGAGTTTTCAACAGCTCCTGTCTGTCTGTGACTTAACCGCTGATGAGTATGAGAAACACATGAATGTGATGAGTCAGTCCAGCAACATCATTCTGAAGCGTGAGCCGAAAGACTGCTGGGTAAACACCTACAACCCTCACCTGCTCAAAGCTTGGGATGCAAACATTGATGTGCAGTTCATTCTCAGCTACTACAGTCTGATCCATTACATATGTACGTACATGTGTAAAAGTGAGAACTCTGTGAGCCAGTACCTGCAAACACTCATTCAGAACTCCGACAGAGAATGTGTCAATGAATGTGATGAAATGAAAGCGGTCATGCAGGCGTATTCCAAAAAGCGAGAAGTATCAGCACAAGAAGCTGTTGCCCGAGTGACTTCACTGAACATGAAAAAGAGTTCACGCAGTGTGGTTTTTGTCCCAACTGATGACAACCCAGTGAAAATGAGTCTGCCTGTGTCAAGCCTTGACAACACAACACCAGACAGCTTGAATGTGTGGATGACATCCTTAACAGACAAGTACAAATCCAGACCTGAATCACCAGAGTTTGAAGAGATGTGCATGGCTGATTTTGCGTCTACCTGCAGACTGGTGTATGGACAACAGACCAAGGGCAAGAAAGTGGTACCTTTGCTGAATGAACTAGGCTTTATACAGAGACGAGAAAGTGACAACGCTGCTGTCATCAGGTATCGCCGCATATCCAAAGAGAAATACCCTGAGCAGTTTTACGGCACATTGCTTAGACTGTATCTTCCATACAGATCAGACGATGAGCTGAAAAGACCATATTTTCCCACATATGAGTCATTCTATGAGAGAGGTGTGGTTCAGCTGCCGTATTCTGACCGACCCCTGAGTGTGAAACTCATCGTGAAAAGAAACCGAGAGAGGTATGAAAAAAACAGTGAGGAAATTGACTCTGCTCTCGAGGACTTTGAACAGAACAGAGGTGTGGTCGATGAATGGTGTAATTTGGCACCTGAATCTGAACTGGTGAGGTTGGAGTGTATCGATGAACTGGATGCCAGACAGTGTGAAAATGTCCAAGAGGATGTACCGGATTACAGCAGACAAGCAAATGCTGCTACAGAGGCCAGAGTCATGAGAGAGCCCCCTACAATCGATCCCACACGGTTACGACAAATGTATCAGAGTCTGAACCAGAAACAGGCATGTGTGTTCTATGCAGTGAGAGACTGGTGCATAAAACGAGTCTGTGGACGACAACCAGAGCAGTTTTTCTACTACATCAATGGTGGTGCTGGCACTGGAAAGTCACATCTCATTAAATGCATTCATTCAGAAGCATCAAAGATTCTGAGAACTCTACCTAGACGTGCAGAGGAAGCTGACATCTCAAACCCGACTGTGCTGTTGACTGCTTTCACTGGAACTGCAGCCTTTAACATCTCTGGAACAACACTGCACTCTCTCCTCAAGCTGCCCAGAAGTTTGAAACCTCCTTTTCAAGGTCTTGGGAACCAACTTGATGAAATCAGGTGTGAGCTTTTAAACGCTGAAATCATCATCATTGATGAAATCTCCATGGTGTCGAAGCCTCTGTTTGCCTATGTGGATGTGAGACTGAAACAGATTAAAGGCAGCCACAGACCCTTTGGAGGAATGTCAGTCATTGCTGTGGGAGACTTTTACCAGCTACCGCCTGTGCGACAGTCCAAACCACTCTGTGTCTATGATCCAAGTGAACTTGACCTCTGGAGAGACAACTTCCAGGTGATCACTTTAGATGAGATCATGCGACAGAAGGATGACAAAACTTTTGCCGAGATGCTGAACAGACTCCGTGTGAAAACAAGGTCAGATGAGATTTCTGAAGCTGACAGAGCTCTGCTGTCACAGCGTGTCACTGAACCACAACTGTGTCCCTCTGATGTCCTGCACATTTTTGCTACAAACAAACAAGTCGCAGAACACAACTCTGCTACACTATCTCTGCTCCATTCTGATATCACCACCATTGATGCAGATGACTTTAAAAAAGACCCACACACTGGACACATGAAAAGACAAGGTGCACCATGTCATGGAAGCAGAAATGATCTACCTGACACACTAGATGTTGCAGTAGGTGCTAGAGTCATGCTTACCAGAAACATTGATGTGTCTCAAGGATTGGTGAACGGATCATTTGCTACAGTAGGCCGTCTCATAAGCTCTGAAAACAACGGTTCTGCTCTTGTCACTATGCTTGGTCTCAGGATGGATGATGAAACAGCTGGCAGGAGCTATCGTACTAGAGGAGACAATCTTGTGTACATCGAGAGATCTGAGGAGGCTCTGCAACAGAAAGGAGTGGTACGCAGACAGTTTCCTGTGAAACTTGCCTTTGCATGCACGATACACAAGGTTCAAGGTATGACCAGAAAATCAACTGTTGTCTCTCTGAAGCACATTTTTGAGCCCGGCATGGCCTATGTAGCTATCAGTCGAGTGACCTCTCTCAGCGGACTGTACATGCTTGATTTGGATGAGAGTAAAATCCATGCTAACCCTGCAGTCACTGTATCTTTGGAGACCATGACACAAGCTAACTTTGATCACCTCATGCCTTTTCTCCAGATCCAGCATTCTCTCAGCAGACAGGACACTGTGAGCATCATTCATCACAACACCGAAGGATTACCTGCTCATGTGAATGACATCAAAAGCCATCATGAACTGTGTCTTGCAGATGTTTTGTGTCTGACAGAAACTCACCTACAGGGCTCCTTTGTGGCAGACAGTCTCCAGTTTGAGGGCTACACCATGTTCAAACGCAACAGACATTTGTCCTACACTAACTTTCCACAGATGGCCAGTAAAGGAGGTGGTGGAGTCGCTGTTTATGTGAAAAACCATTTGCAGGTTGTGGAGAAACAGTACCTGAATAATGTGACTGACCTCGAGTTTGTGGCTTTGAAGGTTGAATCTCCTGTAAGTGCTCTGATTGCAGCTGTGTACAGACCTCCAGACTACAGTGTGCCATCATTCCTGTCCAATCTGGGAAGCCTTCTGGACTCACTTGAGATCATGGACTGTCATCCTATCGTTGTCTGTGGCGACTTCAATGAGAATCTCTTTTCTAATGCAAGTAAGCCAATTTTGGATTTCTTTCAGTCCAAGGGATATGGTCAACTGATCACTGCTGCTACAACGGACAAGAACACACTGCTGGACCTGATTTTCATCTCAAGACCTCGGCTATGTCTCTCCTCAGGTATCGTGCAGACATACTACAGTTACCACAATGCCACTTACTGTGTTATTTCATCCAACAGGTCATAGAAGAAACTGCTCTGAAGGGAAAGACAAACTACAGAAGCTGTGGCTAATGTTATGCTCATATTTTCAGTACAGATTGAAATGTGTTTGGTCATTGTAAATTTTACTCGTGCAAAAAATATTCTTATGGTTCAGAATTTTTATATAGAAAATATTTTTCAGGTTGTAAAATTTTCCAACTATTCAAATGTTATAAATGACAATTTTTGGCCTGTGCATTTATCAAGTCCAGTCAAGTCAAGTTAATCCATTTAACTTGACTTGACTGGACATAGGGAGGGTGGGTGCGGATTGATAAATGCACAGGCCAAAACTCTCAGCTGCTGTGTACAATAATGTATACAGCAGCTAAAATTAAAAACCTCCATCAGAAAGTGTGTGTTCCCTAATGAACACACACTTTCTGATGTTCTATTACCTACCAGCTGAAACCCCCCTTTTCTCCACCCAACTTTACACCACTCTCTTAGCATGGGTGGCTGTAAGTACACTAGAGCAAACCTAAGTTTCCTTTTCTTTGGGTATGTTTTTAGTTTTAATTTTTTATTATTATTATTTTTTTTTTTTTCAGTTGTCCCCACCATCTTTAACCTGACCCCCATTAGTACTATCCTGACTAGCTCACTGTAAACTGAAAAAAATTATCAAACTGTCAACCAAAAGTAAACACATCACCCGTGGATGCAGTAGAGTAAAGCGAAGTTTCCTTTTGTTTGGGTATTTTTTTTTCTTCTTCAGTTGTCTCTGCCATCTTTGTCCTGACCATTAGTGCTGTACTGACTAGCTCACTTATGAGCAGAAAAAAATTATCAAACCATCAACCAGAAGTAAACACATCACTTTGGACCACTCAAAGACACAGTCTACCTGCTGTTTAACCCAGTCTTTGGTCAGAGGTGAAGAAGAGATGACATCCTCCACACCATCCCCCTGCTGCTCTCAACAACCATCATCGCTGTGCTGGACACACTGCAGCACCCACCAGGACCGTTCTCTCATGGACTACACAAACATGTGTTTTACCTGCTTGTGCTCCAGATGTCCTGAAGCAGCTCTCAAGGACCACCAGACACCAGGCTGAAGCAGAACTGATGCTGTAGTACCTGTCACTCACTGGGCTCGTTCCTGCTGAACCCCCAAGAAATAAACCCCTCTTCAAGAAAGTCTGAGGTAATGTCTTGGTGAACTTGTGTTCATTCATGTACAGCTCTGCTGATACCATCGTCTTTAACAGCAGTGTTTTCTCCCAGGTCTTCTTTAAGCCAGTTAAGAGAGGAAGAACAGCTTAGCCACTCAGACAGCTGAACACACCAAAGGTGGACATCATGCAGCCACCCTGAGCCTTGAGCCTCTCTGTGTGAGGAAGCTTTGCTGCTGCAGACCTGGTGAAGTTGCTCTGCTGCAGTGCTGAAGGTATTCATTGTAATGATGTGTGTATTTATTCAACATGTTTAGTTTCACAGATTATCAACACAAATGTTTCTGTTTATTTCCTGTTTTGAACCAGCTACATTCTCCTACTTCAAGTCACTGTCTGTTCATCCACGATGTAGCAAGTGCAGCTAACTAATGGTGATCCTACAATCAATTGTATTGATATACAGTTAAACTGAAGGGGATTTTGTTTGTTTTTTTTCAGACCTCTCCTCCTCCTGCCTCTGACTCCGGTAATGCTATCAACTCGAAAACTGATAACTGCACACAGTGATTCTACAACCACAGGTCAAAGGTCAAAACATTACCTCACTCAAAACCTTCACTCTGAATTGTACCGGGCTCGGCTTTTGGTTTTGAAAAAAAGTGCCCAGACAGAACACAGTACTCACTTGAGGAACTGACTGATTGTCTTCAGGACAGGACAACTATTACTCTTATATTATTTTGAATCCTGTTTTCTACATTAAGTGATCGGTTGTCGATATCTGTTAATATTTTAAGTTTCCTGTTTCTTGGACTTAATTTGTTCTATCTTATTTTAGTATTTTCTTTCCCTTTTACTGTGTATCTGTCCTTATATCAAAAGATGACCAACACTGATGAAGGGAAAAAATACCAGTTACTTCAGTTGTTGCAGGCAGCTGAATTTCTCGCTTTAATATGCTCACCATAGCCCTCAAATTTACCTACAAGAGAAGACGTGTTTTTAGAAATAAATGATGTACTTTGGGTTTCAGCTGGTAGGTACACTGCAGGTTTTTCACGTGTGCTTAGTCTTGGGCTAATGTTTTGGACAGCAGTGATCCCAGCATTACAGTGTGAAACAATCCCAGCTGAAGGTTGTCGTCACAATCATCAAACACAGGGCTTGGTTAAACGAACTGTGTGAAGGGATTTCATAGAGGAACAAAGTTCCCAATCCAGCATTTCAGTAAGACAGAGTAGTGTGAATGTTTGGATAAGAAAACACTGGGATCTAAAATGCTGACCAGATTGTCAGTCCACTGCAATGAGCTGATGACAGTATTAGCCTTGGTCTAACTACTGTGAAAAGCCTTTTGGGTGGTAAGGTGGACCAATACATGCTATAAAAAATACTTCAGTGCCATATTTAAGTTATTAACCTTTCACCTTACTTTGCCCGTATATTTCCACAAGCCTGGAGGACTGCATCTTTTGCATTTGCATTCTTTTCCTTACCCTCCACATTATTTTAAATTTTTAATTTAGATTTAATTAAAAATATATATATTTTAATTTCTGTAAAATACTTCTGTACCACATTGTACAGTAAACTGCTGAGTTATTATTTTTGCAAACAAATGAGCAGATGACAATGAGCTGATGACAGTAATAGCCTTGGTCTACTGTGAAAAGCCTTTTGGTGGTAAGGTGGACCAATTCATTACATCAATTTATTTCAAGTTATCAAATCTACTTTTTAATCTGATCATTTTAGATTTTGTTTAATGTTTCAGTTACATATCATTTAATTTTATTTATTATTATAATCATTTATTATTCTATAATTTTCTTTTTTTTCTACATGAGAAGGCCCACATTTCACTGCAGTTAGCTTTAAAAAATACTACAATGCCGTATTTAATTCATATGCCTTTCACCTTACTTTGCCTGTATATTTCCACAAGCCTGGATAACTTTGCAATACTTTGTAATACTGCTGACCGATTTTAGTAACAATTTTTTTTATAACTCTCAAGTCACCATTTTCATATATTTTTTTAATGTATAGGTGTAAAGGTTTTTCAGATGTGCGAACTTAGTCTTAGGCTAATCTAAACCCTTAAAAACACACATAACAGTCCTGTAGCAGACTTTGAAATCAAATTTCAAGGTCTGTTTTTAAAGCCCACAACACAGGACTTGGCTCAATGGGCCAATACAAATTTTATGAGCCAACTTTTGTTAAGGCTTAGTAATCCGAAAACACAAGAAAAGAGGTGAATGTGGGTACAGGGCTGCTGGAGTTTGAATCCAGTAAATAATCCAGGGTGTTAGCCTCAGTCTAACAACTGTGTGAAGAGCCTTTAATGATTGGGCTAAACAATTTTAGAAACAACTGAAAATGTGATACCTTTGTCCATCAACAATCACAGCAACTACAATCTTAAAACCTTCAGCTTAAGAGACAGATTGGTCACCCATGTAAAGATTTCTGCTTCCAAAACCTGTTCACAAACAAATTGTTTATAATTTGATTTAAGGCACTATGGAGCACTATTTCTTTATGTGTTTATGTTTAGATGTTTTTTTTTTTATTTTTTTTTTTATTTTATGATTAATCATTTCATTGCTCACAAAATGTTAAAGAATTGACAAAAATATTTTTCTTTTTTTCTTTGTTTTGGTTTTACTTATGTAAAAACTCAATTTGAATTTTCAAGTTGATTCAAATTTTAAATTAAAAATATTTGAGTAATGTATTCAATTTTCTCATCTACATTCATTTCTACTTCTTCCAACATGAAGGCCTTTTCAGCCATCTTAAAAATTCTTTACCATATTTTCTGTAATGTTCAAGTTCAGTTCTTTAGCAATTTGAATATTCATACAGCTACTGGTTTACCTCTCCCAGTGTTTTTACATCCATACAACTCATCTCTTTTTCATCATCTTCTTCTTCAGTTCTGTTACGGTTGAAACATTCATACAACTTCTACTTATAACACTTCACCCCTTTAACAGTTTTTTCATTTATACCTTCTCCATTTATTACTGGCAGTTTAGCATTGCTTTTTCAGCTTTCAGCACTCAGCATTTCCACGCATTTTCTGCAAGGAAATGCAATTTTTCTAGTATTATACTTAACACTCTCCCCATACGTTTCTTTGGACCGCTTCTCCTCCTTCAAACTTTGTCCGATTTCAACCGTTCAAACTTTAAACTATTCCACTCCTTCAGGACATGATGGCTATTACTTTTCTCTTTTCTACCCTTTATACTTTTTATTATTTTTCACTTTTTGTGCCAAACTTTTTTTCCCATAGAAATGAATGGGGAAATCTTCCAATTCTTCCTGTTATTCGTCCACCTTCTAAGCCTTATAACTTCAGCATACTTTCACCTAGAGACCTCATTTTTGCTTTAAAATGTTCATTGTCTTGTCGACTATTGATGTTGTATTAACCTTTTTGTGCTATCTTTTACAGTTTTTCCACAATTTAGCTTTATGCAACTTGTGGTTTTCAGCAAATTTCAGGCTTTATAATAGGGGTGTATTGGAGAGGCTAGAGTGATGATTTGAAAAGCTAGAGTGCAGACCTCGTCTCTGATCGACAGAACCTCGCTCGAATATATCGCTCCCACGCCCACAAATCTCACTCCACAGCATAAAAAATACATCAAAATAGAGGTATATGTGTCCTGCTTCTCACAAAAGAGGTTTCAAATCATTAAATCCTACCCCTTGGCCAGCAGGTGACCAACTGTCCAAAAAAGGCGGAAATCTCTCCCATTGACTGTAATGTTATTTTCTCCAAGAAAATCCGGATCATCGCTCAGGCTCAGACTTTTTTAACTCGCTGTTGTGGCCACATTTTTCGGAGTACAGACATGAAAAACACATCATTGTGTTCATGAAGGCGGAGGATTCGTACGATGTTCTTATTTTCATTCTGGGACTTAAGGAAATCACGCTATGTGAAGAAGTTCAAGCTAAATTCACTGCAGTTCAGCAGCTTCTCATTCAAACAGTAGGTCAGTGATTTGCCTTTGATCTCACAGCTGTTTAGGATGCAGTCATTAACGAGACACACACACACACACACACACACACACACACACACACACACACACACACACACACACACACACACACACACACACACACACATTCTTGTACTTGTTGCATTGTCAGGTCTACCTTGCAGTTCACCTGCTTGTACACACAGGTAATATGTGTCTGCTTCACCACCTATCTCCACCCACAAACTTTGAGCTACAGAAACCATTCTGGGCTTCAAAAATTCAGCTCATTGAAGATATTATGGGGTGTTTTGAGGATTGTGATAATAAATTGTATTAATGTGTTTAGCAGAGTCTTGTGTTCTCACAAGCTCCTTATCAGGAATATACAGAGGATGAGCGTCAGGGCCTACTTGGAGTCCTGTTTCCTTAGCTTCAAGCCTTCTTTCTCCTGCTATAGTTATGCATCCAAGGTCCCCATGGCAACCAATTTGTGCACCTGGAGACACACAGCTGACTGGAAAGCTGCTTCTAATGGCCATATGAGACACATGAAGCCAGGCTCAGCACACATAGCACTGGGGATGACACTTAAAACCCTTTACTAGAGCGCTTGAAAAAACTTCAGCCCCTATCTCCTCACATGACCTTTGACCTACAGAAACCATTCAGGGCTTTAAAATTTGAGCTCATTGAGGACATTATGGGGTGTATTTAGGATTTATATACATTTAGATTTTTCACATTTTAAAGTCACTCAGTGATGATTTATCATTTAATTTTTCAAACTAATTTGAACTGATTCAAACTGATTCAAATCTTTCTAATACTTAAAAAATTAAACTTATGCCACTTCCCACCTTCCTGCCTTTTAAGGCAATTTCCTTCTTCATTCAAACTTTGTGCAATTTTAGACATTTTTCTAGCCTCTTTCAGCATGAATAAAATTTCTTTTTATAGAGCATATTCATACTATTTGTCCTTCAACCAATTAATCAATTATCCAACTTACATTTCTTTCACACCCCTTCAACAGCTTTAACATTTATACCTTTCTCCATGTTTTATTAGCAGTTTAGCATTGCTTTTTCAGCTTTCAGCACTCAGCATTTCCACGCATTTTCTGCAAGGAAATGCAATTTTTCTAGTTATGGAAATTGAAGCATTTCCACTTTTTTTTTACTTATTATTCTTCCGTCCCTTTTTTGGACCGCTTCTCCTCCTTCAAACTTTGTCCGATTTCAACCGTTCAAACTTTAAACTATTCCACTCCTTCAGGACATTATGGCTATTACTTTTCTCTTTTCTACCCTTTATACTTTTTGATTTTTCACTTTTTGTGCAAAAATTTTTCCATTAAAATGAATGGGGAAATCTTCCATTCTTCCTTTATTCTTCCACCTTCAACCTTATAACTTCAGCATACTTTCACCTAGAGACCTCATTTTTGCTTTAAAATGTTCATTCACTTGTCGACTATTATAGTTGTACTCAGATTTTTGATATCTCTTACAGTTTTTCCACAATTTAGCTTTAAGCAACTTGTGGTTTTCAGCAAATTTCAAGCTTTATAATGGGTGTGTATTGGAGAGTTTAGAGTGATGATGTCATCAGCTAGAGTGCAGACCTCGTCTCTGATCGACAGAACCTCGCTCGAATATATCGCTCCCACGCCCACAAATCTCACTCCACTGACACAAATAATACATCAAAATGGAGGTATATGTGTCCTGCTTCTCACAAAAGAGGTTTCAAATCATTAAATCGTACCCCTTGGCCAGCAGGTGACCAACTGTCCAAAAAAGGCGGAAATCTCTCCCATTGACCGTAATGTTATTTATCTCCAAGAAAATCCGGATCATCGCTCAGGCTCAGACTTTTTTAACTCGCTGTTGTGGCCTCATTTTTCGAAGTACAGACATGAAAAACACATCATTGTGTTCATGAAGGACGGAGGATTCGTACGATGTTCTTATTTTCATTCTGGGACTTAAGGAAATCACGCTATGTGAAGAAGTTCACAGGCTGAAATTCACTGCAGTTCAGCACCTCTCAGTCAAACAGTAGGTTAGTGATTTGCCTTTGATCTCACAGCTGTTTAGGATGCAGTCATTAACGAGACACACACACACACACACACACACACATTCTTGTACTTGTTGCTTTTTGAGGTCCACCTTGCAGTTCAGCTGCTTGTACACACAGTTAATATGTGTCTGCTTCGCCACCTATCTCCACCCACAAACTTTGAGCTACAGAAACCATTCTGGGCTTCTAAAATTCAGCTCATTGAAGATATTATGGGGTGTTTTGAGGATTGTGATAATAAATTGTATTAATGTGTTTAGCAGAGTCTTGTGTTCTCACAAGCTCCTTATCAGGAATAGATACAGAGGATGAGCATCAGGGCCTACTTGGAGTCATGTTTCCTTAGCTTCAAGCCTTCTTTCTCCTGCTATAGTTATGCATCCAAGGTCCCCATGGCAACCAATTAGTGCACCTGGAGACACACAGCTGACTGGAAAGCTGCTTCTAATGGCCATATGAGACACATGAAGCCAGGCTCAGCACACATAGCACTGGGGATGACACTTAAAACCCTTTACTAGAGCGCTTGAAAAAACTTCAGCCCCTATCTCCTCACATGACCTTTGACCTACAGAAACCATTCAGGGCTTTAAAATTTGAGCTCATTGAGGACATTATGGGGTGTATTTAGGATTTATATACATTTAGATTTTTCACATTTTAAAGTCACTCAGTGATGATTTATCATTTAATTTTTCAAACTAATTTGAACTGATTCAAACTGATTCAAACCTTTCTAATACTTAAAAAATTAAACTTATGGCACTTCTCACCTTCCTGCCTTTTAAGGCAATTTCCTTCTTCATTCAAACTTTGTGCAATTTTAGACATTTTTCTAGCCTCTTTCAGCATGAATAAAATTTCTTTTTATAGAGCATATTCATACTATTTGTCCTTCAACCAATTAATCAATTATCCAACTTACATTTCTTTCACAACCCTTAGACAGCTTTAACATTTATACATTTCTCCATGTTTTATTAGCAGTTTTGCATTGCTTTTTCAGCTTTCAGCACTCAGCATTTCCACGCATTTTCTGCAAGGAAATGCAATTTTTCTAGTTAAGTGGAAATGCTGACACAGCATTTCCACTTATTGTTATTCTACTATTTCTTTATTATTATTATTCTTCCGTACCTTTTTTGGCCCTTTTCAACTCCTCACCACTTTGTGCTATTTTCACCATTCAAACTTTATACTAATGCACTCCTTCAGGACATTACGGCTATTACTTTTCACCTTTCTACCATTTATACTTTTTGCAATATTTCACTTTTTCTGCAAAATTTGTTCCATTACAAATGAATGGAGATACAGCTATAACACCTTCTCACCCTTATAACTTCTGCATACTTTCACCTACAGACCTCATTTTTGCTTTAAAATGTTCAGCAACGTGTCTGCTACAAATGTTGTATTCACTCCTTTTTGCTATTTCCTACCGTTTTTGCACAATTTCGCTTGGAGCAACATGAAGTTCTCTGCCTTTTTCAGCCTGACTCACGCTACAGCGTGTGACGTCAGATGTTACGTCACCGCTAGATGCGGGCGGGGCCTTTTGGATTCACTACACCAAGCATGATTATTTTGCTGCTGCGGCCGCAATTTTCACTCCACAGCCATAAAAAACACATCAAAATGGAGGTACACTCGTCCTGCTTCTCACAAAATCGGTCTGAAGTCATGAAATTGTACAGCTTGCCCAGGAGGTGAGTACATTCCTTCAGAGCCAGAGATTCTGCACTTGTCATGGGCTGTCTGCTTCGATCGCACACGCACATGCACACGCACGGACTCGGCCGCTCGTGCGCGCGCGGGCACACACACACACACACACACACACACACACACACACACACACTGTTTCCATGAGTGCATTACTTTCTCTGTTACTATCTCTCTGTCAGATTCTGCACTTGTCATGGGCTGTGTGCTTCGATCGCACACGCACGGACTTGGCCGCTCGTGCGCGCGCGGGCACACACACATACACACACACTGTTTCCATGAGTGCATTACTGTGTCTCTTTCTCTCTTACTGTCTCTGTCAGATTCTGCACTTGTCATGGGCTGTGTGCTTCGATCACACACGCATATGCACACGCACGGGCTCGGCCGCGCGCGCGCGCGGGCACACACACACACACACACACACACACACACACTGTTTCCATGTGTGCATTACTCTCTCTCTGTCAGTAGAAAATACAGCCCCAATATGAACTTTGTTGTTACAGTTCTTGTCTTTAACTCTTTTAACATACTAACTTCTTCTTTTTCTTCTACTTCTGCTTTTCTTTTCTATACTTTCTACATTTATACAATTAATTTAACTTCAGCTGTTTCATACTTTCTGCATTCAGATGTAGGGCAGTAACTGAAGCAGGGCAATAGATGGTGCTGTTCTGCATTCTCAAGTTACTATGGTTGGATGCTGCAGACTGCAAAAATCTGTTTTACTATTTGTACATTTAATAGGAACATTGTTACACATTGTTTAAAGGCATTTGTTTTTCAAATTCAATTATCCATATCAGTTCTGTTTATTCACATCAATCATATACATTTTTCACTTAGGCTATCAGACAATTTGTACATTAATCCAACTAATTTACCTCCAGCTATACTACAATTCTTCCATTCATACAATTTCTTCTTCTTCTACTCCACCTTTTCTACAGTTTTTCCGTTTATACCTTCCTCCATTTTTTATTGGCAGTTTTGCATTGCTTTTTCAGCTTTCAGCACTCAGCATTTCCACGCATTTTCTGCAAGGAAATGCAATTTCTAGTTTCTATTATTATTATTATTATTCTTCCGTACCTTTTTTGGCCCTTTTCAACTCCTTACCACTTTGTGCTATTTTCACCATTCAAACTTTATACTAATGCACTCCTTCAGGACATTACGGCTATTACTTTTCACCTTTCTACCATTTATACTTTTTGCAATATTTCACTTTTTCTGCAAAATTTGTTCCATTACAAATGAATGGAGATACAGCTATAACACCTTCTCACCCTTATAACTTCTGCATACTTTCACCTACAGACCTCATTTTTGCTTTAAAATGTTCAGCAACTGTCTGCTACAAATGTTGTATTCACTCCTTTTTGCTATTTCCTACCGTTTTTGCACAATTTCGCTTGGAGCAACATGAAGTCTTCTGCCTTTTTCAGCCTGACTCACGCTACAGCGTCAGATGACGTCATACTAGATGCGGGCGGGGCCTTTTGGATTCACTAGACCAAGCGTGATTATTTTGCTGCCGCGGCCGCAATTTTCACTCCACAGCCATAAAAAACACATCAAAATGGAGGTACACTCGTCCTGCTTCTCACAAAATCGGTCTGAAGTCATGAAATTGTACAGCTTGCCCAGGAGGTGAGTACATTCCTTAGGAGCCAGAGATTCTGCACTTGTCATGGGCTGTGTGCTTCGATCGCACACGCACGGACTTGGCCGCTCGTGCGCGCGCGCACACACACACACACACACACACACTGTTTCCATGAGTGTATTACTGTCTCTCTTTCTCTCTTACTGTCTCTCTGTCAGATTCTGCACTTGTCATGGGCTGTGTGCTTCGATCACACACGCACATGCACACGCACGGGCTCGGCCGCGCGCGCGCGCGGGCAAACACACACACACACACACTGTTTCCATGTGTGCGTTACTGTCTCTCTGTCAGTAGAAAATACAGCCCCAATATGAACTTTGTTGTTACAGTTCTTGTCTTTAACTCTTTTAACATACGAACTTCTTCTTTTTCTTCTACTTCTGCTTTTCTTTTCTATACTTTCTACATTTATACAATTAATTTAACTTCAGCTGTTTCATACTTTCTACATTCAGATGTAGGGCAGTAACTGAAGCAGGGCAATAGATGGTGCTGTTCTGCATTCTCAAGTTACTATGGTTGGATGCTGCAGACTGCAAAAATCTGTTTTACTATTTGTACATTTAATAGGAACATTGTTACACATTGTTTAAAGGCATTTGTTTTTCAAATTCAATTATCCATATCAGTTCTGTTTATTCACATCAATCATATACATTTTTCACTTAGGCTATCAGACAATTTGTACATTAATCCAACTAATTTACCTCCAGCTATACTACAATTCTTCCATTCATACAATTTCTTCTTCTTCTACTCCACCTTTTCTACAGTTTTTCCGTTTATACCTTCCTCCATTTTTTATTGGCAGTTTTGCATTGCTTTTTCAGCTTTCAGCACTCAGCATTTCCACGCATTTTCTGCAAGGAAATGCAATTTTTCTAGTTAAGTGGAAATGCTGATTAAGCATTTCCACTTATTAAGTGGAAATGCTGATAGGCATTTCCACTTATTGTTATTCTCCTGTTTCTTTATTATTATTATTATTATTTTTCTTCCGCCATTTTTTGGCACTTTATAACTCTTCTCCACTTTGTGCGATTTCAACCGTTCAAACTTTAAACTATTCCTCTCCTTCAGGACATGACGGCGATTACTTTTCACTTTTCTACCCTTTATACTTTTTGATTTTTTTAACTTTTTGTGCAAAAATTTTAACATTGAAGTCAATGGGGAAATCTTCCAATTCTTCCTTTTTTCTTCCACCTTCTAACCTTATAACTTCAGCATACTTTCACCTAGAGACCTCATTTTTGCTTTAAAATGTTCATTCACTTGTCGACTATTATAGTTGTACTCAGTTTTTTGATATCTTTTACAGTTTTTCCACAATTTAGCTTTAAGCAACTTGTGGTTTTCAGCAAATTTCAAGCTTTATAATGGGTGTGTATTGGAGAGTTTAGAGTGATGATGTCATCAGCTAGAGTGCAGACCTCGTCTCTGATCGACAGAACCTCGCTCGAATATATCGCTCCCACGCCCACAAATCTCACTCCACTGACACAAATAATACATCAAAATGGAGGATATGTGTCCTGCTTCTCACAAAAGAGGTTTCAAATCATTAAATCGTACCCCTTGGCCAGCAGGTGACCAAGTGTCCAAAAAAGGCGGAAATCTCTCCCATTGACTGTAATGTTATTTTTCTCCAAGAAAATCCGGATCATCGCTCAGGCTCAGACTTTTTTAACTCGCTGTTGTGGCCTCATTTTTCGAAGTACAGACATGAAAAACACATCATTGTGTTCATGAAGGACGGAGGATTCGTACGATGTTCTTATTTTCATTCTGGGACTTAAGGAAATCACGCTATGTGAAGAAGTTCACAGGCTGAAATTCACTGCAGTTCAGCACCTCTCAGTCAAACAGTAGGTTAGTGATTTGCCTTTGATCTCACAGCTGTTTAGGATGCAGTCATTAACGAGACACACACACACACACACGCACACACATTCTTGTACTTGTTGCTTTTTGAGGTCCACCTTGCAGTTCAGCTGCTTGTACACACAGTTAATATGTGTCTGCTTCACCACCTATCTCCACCCACAAACTTTGAGCTACAGAAACCATTCTGGGCTTGAAAAATTCAGCTCATTGAAGATATTATGGGGTGTTTTGAGGATTGTGATAATAAATTGTATTAATGTGTTCAGCAGAGTCTTGTGTTCTCACAAGCTCCTTATGAATATATACAGAGGGTGAGCGTCAGGGCCTACTTGGAGTCCTGTTTCTTTAGCTTCAAGCCTTCTTTCTCCTGCTATAGTTATGCATCCAAGGTCCCCATGGCAACCAATTTGTGCACCTGGAGACACACAGCTGACTGGAAAGCTGCTTCTAGTGGCCATATGAGACACATGAAGCCAGGCTCAGTACACATAGCACTTGGGATGACACTTAAAACCCTTTCCTAGAGCGTTGGAAAAAACTTCAGCCCCTATCTCCTCACATGACCTTTGACCTACAGAAACCATTCAGGGCTTTGAAATTTAAGCTCATTGAGGACATTATTGGGTGTATTTAGGATTGTTATTCATTTAAATTTTTCACATTTTAAAAGTCAGTCAGTGATGATTTATCATTTAATTTTTCAAACTAATTTAAACTCATTCAAACTGATTCAAACCTTTCTAATACTTCAAAACTTTCTGATACTTGAGGACTTTTGATAATTTAAAATTTCCCTGTTTTAAATTAGTTTTAATATTTATGCATTACTCCATCATTCAAACAAAATCCTACCTCAAGTACGACAACTACTGCTAATGTCAATTGAACTAGAACTTTCCCCTCTACTTCAACTGCTATTGCTCCTATTTCTACTTTCTTTACTACTTTGACTTATACTTCTTTTATTCTCAATCTACTTCTACTGCTGACATGACTACTAGTATCACAACTTGACTTCTTATCATACTACTTCTAGTACTACAATTTAAACTTATGCCACTTCTCACCTTCCTGCCTTTTAAGGCAATTTCCTTCTTTATTCAAACTTTGTGCAATTTTCGACATTTTTCTAGCCTCTTTCAGCATGAATAAAATTTCCTTTTATAGAGCATATTCATACTATTTGTCCTTCAACCAATTAATCAATTATCCAACTTATATTTCTGTTCACCCCTTCAACAGCTTTAACATTTATACCTTTCTCCATGTTTTATTAGCAGTTTAGCATTGCTTTTTCAGCTTCAGCACTCAGCATTTCCACGCATTTTCTGCAAGGAAATGCAATTTTTCTAGTTGTTATCCTGTTCTTTATTATTATTATTTTTCTTCCGCCGTTTTTTGGACCGCTTCTCCTCCTTCAAACTTTGTCCGATTTCAACCGTTCAAACTTTAAACTATTCCACTCCTTCAGGACATGATGGCTATTACTTTTCTCTTTTCTACCCTTTATACTTTTTTGATTTTTTTAACTTTTTGTGCAAAAATTTTAACATTGGAGTCAATGGGGAAATCTTCCACTTCTTTCTTTTTTTCTTCCACCTTCTAGACCTTATAACTCTAGCATACTTTCACCTAGAGACCTCATTTTTGCTTTAAAATGTTCATTCACTTGTCGACTATTATAGTTGTACTCAGTTTTTTGATATCTTTTACAGTTTTTCCACAATTTAGCTTTAAGCAACTTGTGGTTTTCAGCAAATTTCAAGCTTTATAATGGGTGTGTATTGGAGAGTTTAGAGTGATGATGTCATCAGCTAGAGTGCAGACCTCGTCTCTGATCGACAGAACCTCGCTCGAATATATCGCTCCCACGCCCACAAATCTCACTCCACTGACACAAATAATACATCAAAATGGAGGTATATGTGTCCTGCTTCTCACAAAAGAGGTTTCAAATCATTAAATCCTACCCCTTGGCCAGCAGGTGACCAACTGTCCAAAAAAGGCGGAAATCTCTCCCATTGACCATAATGTTATTTTTCTCCAGGAAAATCCGGATCATCGCTCAGGCTCAGACTTTTTTAACTCGCTGTTGTGGCCTCATTTTTCGAAGTACAGACATGAAAAACACATCATTGTGTTCATGAAGGACGGAGGATTCGTACGATGTTCTTATTTTCATTCTGGGACTTAAGGAAATCACGCTATGTGAAGAAGTTCACAGGCTGAAATTCACTGCAGTTCAGCGGCTCTCAGTCAAACAGTAGGTTAGTGATTTGCCTTTGATCTCACAGCTGTTTAGGATGCAGTCATTAACGAGACACACACACACACACGCACACACATTCTTGTACTTGTTGCTTTTTGAGGTCCACCTTGCAGTTCAGCTGCTTGTACACACAGTTAATATGTGTCTGCTTCACCACCTATCTCCACCCACAAACTTTGAGCTACAGAAACCATTCTGGGCTTCAAAAATTCAGCTCATTGAAGATATTATGGGGTGTTTTGAGGATTGTGATAATAAATTGTATTAATGTGTTCAGCAGAGTCTTGTGTTCTCACAAGCTCCTTATGAATATTTACAGAGGGTGAGCGTCAGGGCCTACTTGGAGTTCTGTTTCTTTAGCTTCAAGCCTTCTTTCTCCTGCTATAGTTATGCATCCAAGGTCCCCATGGCAACCAATTTGTGCACCTGGAGACACACAGCTGACTGGAAAGCTGCTTCTAGTGGCCATATGAGACACATGAAGCCAGGCTTAGTACACATAGCAATTGGGATGACACTTAAAACCCTTTCCTAGAGCGTTGGAAAAAACTTCAGCCCCTATCTCCTCACATGACCTTTGACCTACAGAAACCATTCAGGGCTTTGAAATTTAAGCTCATTGAGGACATTATTGGGTGTATTTAGGATTGTTATTCATTTAAATTTTTCACATTTTAAAAGTCAGTCAGTGATGATTTATCATTTAATTTTTCAAACTAATTTAAACTCATTCAAACTGATTCAAACCTTTCTAATACTTCAAAACTTTCTGATACTTGAGGATTTTTGATAATTTAAAATTTCCCTGTTTTAAATTAGTTTTAATATTTATGCATTACTCCATCCTTCAAACAAAATCCTACCTCAAGTACGACAACTACTGCTAATGTCAATTAAACTAGAACTTTCCCCTCTACTTCAACTGCTATTGCTCCTATTTCTACTTTCTTTACTACTTTGACTTATACTTCTTTTATTCTCAATCTACTTCTACTGCTGACATGACTACTAGTATCACAACTTGACTTCTTATCATACTACTTCTAGTACTACAATTTAAACTTATGCCACTTCTCACCTTCCTGCCTTTTAAGGCAATTTCCTTCTTCATTCAAACTTTGTGCAATTTTCGACATTTTTCTAGCCTCTTTCAGCATGAATAAAATTTCCTTTTATAGAGCATATTCATACTATTTGTCCTTCAACCAATTAATCAATTATCCAACTTATATTTCTGTTCACCCCTTCAACAGCTTTAACATTTATACCTTTCTCCATGTTTTATTAGCAGTTTAGCATTGCTTTTTCAGCTTTCAGCACTCAGCATTTCCACGCATTTTCTGCAAGGAAATGCAATTTTTCTAGTTAAGTGGAAATGCTGATTAAGCATTTCCACTTATTGTTATTCTCCCGTTTCTTTATTATTATTATTCTTCCGCCGTTTTTCGTCCGCTTTCAACTCCTTCCCAGTTTGTGCGATTTCAACCGTTCAAACTTTAAACTATTCCACTCCTTCAGGACACGTTTGCTATTACTTTTCACTTTTCTACCATTTATACTTTTTGTTTTTTTTAACTTTTTGTGCAAAAATTTTAACATTGAAGTCAATGGGGAAATCTTCCAATTCTTCCTTTTATTCTTCCACCTTCTAGACCTTATAACTTCAGCATACTTTCACCTAGAGACCTCATTTTTGCTTTAAAATGTTCATTCACTTGTCGACTATTATAGTTGTACTCAGTTTTTTGATATCTCTTACAGTTTTTCCACAATTTAGCTTTAAGCAACTTGTGGTTTTCAGCAAATTTCAAGCTTTATAATGGGTGTGTATTGGAGAGTTTAGAGTGATGATGTCATCAGCTAGAGTGCAGACCTCGTCTCTGATAGACAGAACCTCGCTCGAATATATCGCTCCCACGCCCACAAATCTCACTCCACTGACACAAATAATACATCAAAATGGAGGTATATGTGTCCTGCTTCTCACAAAAGAGGTTTCAAATCATTAAATCGTACCCCTTGGCCAGCAGGTGACCAACTGTCCAAAAAAGGCGGAAATCTCTCCCATTGACTTTAATGTTATTTTTCTCCAAGAAAATCCGGATCATCGCTCAAGCTCAGACTTTTTTAACTCGCTGTTGTGGCCTCATTTTTCGAAGTACAGACATGAAAAACACATCATTGTGTTCATGAAGGACGGAGGATTCGTACGATGTTCTTATTTTCATTCTGGGACTTAAGGAAATCACGCTATGTGAAGAAATTCACAGGCTGAAATTCACTGCAGTTCAGCACCTCTCAGTCAAACAGTAGGTTAGTGATTTGCCTTTGATCTCACAGCTGTTTAGGATGCAGTCATTAACGAGAGACACACACACACACACACGCACACACATTCTTGTACTTGTTGCTTTTTGAGGTCCACCTTGCAGTTCAGCTGCTTGTACACACAGTTAATATGTGTCTGCTTCACCACCTATCTCCACCCACAAACTTTGAGCTACAGAAACCATTCTGGGCTTCAAAAATTCAGCTCATTCAAGATATTATGGGGTGTTTTGAGGATTGTGATAATACATTGTATTAATGTGTTCAGCAGAGTCTTGTGTTCTCACAAGCTCCTTATGAATATATACAGAGGGTGAGCGTCAGGGCCTACTTGGAGTCCTGTTTCTTTAGCTTCAAGCCTTCTTTCTCCTGCTATAGTTATGCATCCAAGGTCCCCATGGCAACCAATTTGTGCACCTGTAGACACACAGCTGACTGGAAAGCTGCTTCTAGTGGCCATATGAGACACATGAAGCCAGGCTCAGTACACATAGCAATTGGGATGACACTTAAAACCCTTTCCTAGAGCGTTGGAAAAAACTTCAGCCCCTATCTCCTCACATGACCTTTGACCTACAGAAACCATTCAGGGCTTTGAAATTTAAGCTCATTGAGGACATTATTGGGTGTATTTAGGATTGTTATTCATTTAAATTTTTCACATTTTAAAAGTCAGTCAGTGATGATTTATCATTTAATTTTTCAAACTAATTTAAACTCATTCAAACTGATTCAAACCTTTCTAATACTTAAATATTAAACTTATGCCACTTCCCACCTTCCTGCCTTTTAAGGCAATTTCCTTCTTCATTCAAACTTTGTGCAATTTTAGACATTTTTCTAGCCTCTTTCAGCATGAATAAAATTTCTTTTTATAGAGCATATTCATACTATTTGTCCTTCAACCAATTAATCAATTATCCAACTTACATTTCTTTCACACCCCTTGAACAGCTTTAACATTTATACATTTCTCCATGTTTTATTAGCAGTTTAGCATTGCTTTTTCAGCTTTCAGCACTCAGCATTTCCACGCATTTTCTGCAAGGAAATGCAATTTTTCTAGTATTATACTTAACACTCTCCCCATACGTTTCTTTGGACCGCTTCTCCTCCTTCAAACTTTGTCCGATTTCAACCGTTCAAACTTTAAACTATTCCACTCCTTCAGGACATGATGGCTATTACTTTTCTCTTTTCTATCCTTTATACTTTTTATTATTTTTCACTTTTTGTGACAAACTTTTTTTCCCATAGAAATGAATGGGGAAATCTTCCAATTCTTCCTGTTATTCGTCCACCTTCTAAGTCTTATAACTTCAGCATACTTTCACCTAGAGACCTCATTTTTGCTTTAAAATGTTCATTGTCTTGTCGACTATTGATGTTGTATTAACCTTTTTGTGCCATCTTTTACAGTTTTTCCACAATTTAGCTTTATGTAACTTGTGGTTTTCAGCAGATTTCAGGCTTTATAATAGGGGTGTATTGGAGAGGCTAGAGTGATGATTTGAAAAGCTAGAGTGCAGACCTCGTCTCTGATCGACAAAACCTCGCTCGAATATATCGCTCCCACGCCCACAAATCTCACTCCACACCCATAAAAAATACATCAAAATGGAGGTATATGTGTCCTGCTTCTCACAAAAGAGGTTTCAAATCATTAAATCGTACCCCTTGGCCAGCAGGTGACCAACTGTCCAAAAAAGGCAGAAATCTCTCCCATTGACCGTAATGTATTTCTTCTCCAAAAAAATCCTTATCCCCACTCAGGCTCAGACTTTTTTAACTCGCTGTTGTGGCCACATTTTTCGGAGTACAGACATGAAAAAGACATCATTGTGTTCATGAAGGGCGGAGGATTCGTACGATGTTCTTATTTTCATTCTGGGACTTAAGGAAATCACGCTATGTGAAGAAGTTTAGAGCCTCTAAATCCTCTGCAGTTCAGCTGCTTCTCATTCAAACAGTAACCAATTTGTGCACCTGGAGACACACAGCTGACTGGAAAGCTGCTTCTAATGGCCATAAGAGACACATGAAGCCAGGCTCAGTACACATAGCACTGGGGATGACACTTAAAACCCTTTCCTAGAGCGCTTGAAAAACCTTCAGCCCCTATCTCCTCACATGACCTTTGACCTACAGAAACCATTCAGGGCTTTAAAATTTAAGCTCATTAATTTTTCAAACTAAAAAATTCAGCACTCAGCATTTCCACGCATTTTCTGCAAGGAAATGCAATTTTTCTAGTATTATACTTAACACTCTCCCCATACGTTTCTTTGGACCGCTTCTCCTCCTTCAAACTTTGTCCGATTTCAACCGTTCAAACTTTAAACTATTCCACTCCATCAGGACATGTGTGCTTGTATTTTTTTCCTTTCTATCCTTTGTACTTTTTATTATTTTTCACTTTTTGTTCCAAACTTTTTTCCCATAGAAATGAATGGGGAAATCTTCCAATTCTTCCTGTTATTCGTGCACCTTCTAAGCCTTATAACTTCAGCATACTTTCACCTAGAGACCTCATTTTTGCTTTGAAATGTTCATTGTCTTGTCGACTATTGATGTTGTATTAACCTTTTTGTGCTATCTTTTACAGTTTTTCCACAATTTAGATTTATGCAACTTGTGGTTTTCAGCTAATTTCAGGCTTTATAATAGGGGTGTATTGGAGAGGCTAGAGTGATGATTTGAAAAGCTAGAGTGCAGACCTCGTCTCTGATCGACAGAACCTCGCTCGAATATATCGCTCCCACGCCCACAAATCTCACTCCACAGCCATAAAAAATACATCAAAATGGAGGTATATGTGTCCTGCTTCTCACAAAAGAGGTTTCAAATCATTAAATCCTACCCCTTGGCCAGCAGGTGACCAACTGTCCAAATAGGCGGAAAACTGTCCCCATTGGCCCTAATGTCTTTTTCTCCAAGAAAATCCTTATCGCCACTGAGGCTCAGACTTTTTTAACTCGCTGTTGTGGCGACATTTTTCGGAGTACAGACATGAAAAACACATCATTGTGTTCATGAAGGGCGGAGGATTTGTACGATGTTCTTATTTTCATTCTGGGACTTAAGGAAATCGTGCTATGTGAAGAAGTTCAGAACCCTAAATTCACTGCAGTTCAGCAGCTTCTCCATTCAAACAATAGGTCAGTTCATGGCTTTGATCTTACAGCTGTTTAGGATGCCGTCATTAACGAGACACACACACACACACACACATTCTTGTACTTGTTGCTTTATGAGGTCTACCTTGCAGTTCAGCTGCTTGTACACACAGTTAATATGTGTCTGCTTCACCACCTATCTCCACCCACAAACTTTGAGCTACAGAAACCATTCTGGGCTTCAAAAATTCAGCTCATTGAAGATATTATGGGGTGTTTTGAGGATTGTGATAATAAATTGTATTAATGTGTTCAGCAGAGTCTTGTGTTCTCACAAGCTCCTTTTCAGGAATAGATACAGAGGATGAGCGTCAGGGCCTACTTGGAGTCCTGTTTCCTTAGCTTCAAGCCTTCTTTCTCCTGCTATAGTTATGCATCCAAGGTCCCCATGGCAACCAATTTGTGCACCTGGAGACACACAGCTGACTGGAAAGCTGCTTCTAATGGCCATATGAGACACATGAAGCCAGGCTCAGTACACATAGCACTGGGGATGACACTTAAAACCCTTTCCTAGAGCGCTTGAAAAAACTTCAGCCCCTATCTCCTCACATGACCTTTGACCTACAGAAACCATTCAGGGCTTTAAAATTTAAGCTCATTGAGGACATTATGGGGTGTATTCAGGATTTATATTCATTTAAATTTTTCACATTTTAAAGTCACTCAGTGATGATTTATCATTTAATTTTTCAAACTAATTTAAACTCATTCAAACTGATTCAAACCTTTCTAATACTTAAAAACTTTCTGAAACTTGAGGATTTTAATTATTGAAATTTTCCCTGTTTTATATTAGTTTTAATATTTATGCATTATTCCGTCCTTCAAACAAAATCCTACCTCTAGTACTACAACTACTTAATGTCAATTAAACTAGAACTTTCCCCTCTACTTCAACTGCTATTGCTCCTATTTCTACTTTCTTTACTACTTTGACTCATACTTCTTTTATTCTCAAACTACTTCTACTGCTGACATGACTACTAGTATCACGACTTGACTTCTTATCATACTACTTCTAGTACTACAACTTAAACTTATGCCACTTCTCACCTTCCTGCCTTTTAAGGCAATTTCCTTCTTCATTCAAACTTTGTGCAATTTTAGACATTTTTCTAGCCTCTTTCAGCATGAATAAAATTTCCTTTTATAGAGCATATTCATACTATTTGTCCTTCAACCAATTAATCAATTATCCAACTTACATTTCTTTCTCACCCCTTCAACAGCTTTAACATTTATACCTTTCTCCATGTTTTATTAGCAGTTTAGCATTGCTTTTTCAGCTTTCAGCACTCAGCATTTCCACGCATTTTCTGCAAGGAAATGCAATTTTTCTAGTATTATACTTAACACTCTCCCCATACGTTTCTTTGGACCGCTTCTCCTCCTTCAAACTTTGTCCGATTTCAACCGTTCAAACTTTAAACTATTCCACTCCATCAGGACATGATGGCTATTACTTTTCTCTTTTCTACCCTTTATACTTTTTATTATTTTTCACTTTTTGTCTCAAACTTTTTTTCCCATAGAAATGAATGGGGAAATCTTCCAATTCTTCTTTTTCTTCTTCCACCTTCTAAGCCTTATAACTTCAGCATACTTTCACCTAGAGACCTCATTTTTGCTTTAAAATGTTCATTCACTTGTCGACTATTGATGTTGTATTAACTTTTTTGTGCTATCTTCTACAGTTTTCCCACAATTTAGCTTTAAGCAACTTGTGGTTTTCAGCAAATTTCAAGCTTTATAATGGGTGTGTATTGGAGAGGCTAGAGTGATGATTTGAAAAGCTAGAGTGCAGACCTCGTCTCTGATCGACAGAACCTCGCTCGAATATATCGCTCCCACGCCCACAAATCTCACTCCACAGCCATAAAAAATACATCAAAATGGAGGTATATGTGTCCTGCTTCTCACAAAAGAGGTTTCAAATCATTAAATCGTACCCCTTGGCCAGCAGGTGACCAACTGTCCAAATAGGCGGAAATCTCTCCCCATTAGACCTAATGTATTTCTTCTCCAAGAAAATCCTTATCCCCACTCAGGCTCAGACTTTTTTAACTCGCTGTTGTGGCCACATTTTTCGGAGTACAGACATGAAAAACACATCATTGTGTTCATGAAGGACGGAGGATTCGTACGATGTTCTTATTTTCATTCTGGGACTTAAGGAAATCACGCTATGTGAAGAAGTTCAGAGGCTATAAATCCTCTGCAGTTCAGCACCTCTCAGTCAAACAGTAGGTCAGTGATTTGCCTTTGATCTCACAGCTGTTTAGGATGCAGTCATTAACGAGACACACACACACACACACACACACACACACACACACACACACACACATTCTTGTACTTGTTGCTTTGTCAGGTCTACCTTGCAGTTCAGCTGCTTGTACACACAGTTAATATGTGTCTGCTTCACCACCTATCTCCACCCACAAACTTTGAGCTACAGAAACCATTCTGGGCTTGAAAAATTCAGCTCATTGAAGATATTATGGGGTGTTTTGAGGATTGTGATAATAAATTGTATTAATGTGTTCAGCAGAGTCTTGTGTTCTCACAAGCTCCTTATCATGAATATATACAGAGGATGAGCGTCAGGGCCTACTTGGAGTCCTGTTTCTTTAGCTTCAAGCCTTCTTTCTCCTGCTATAGTTATGCATCCAAGGTCCCCATGGCAACCAATTTGTGCACCTGGAGACACACAGCTGACTGGAAAGCTGCTTCTAATGGCCATATGAGACACATGAAGCCAGGCTCAGTACACATAGCACTGGGGATGACACTTAAAACCCTTTCCTAGAGCGCTTGAAAAAACCTAAGCCCGTATCTCCTCACATGACCTTTGACCTACAGAAACCATTCAGGGCTTTAAAATTTAAGCTCATTGAGGACATTATGGGGTGTATTCAGGATTTATTTTCATTTAAATTTTTCACATTTTAAAGTCACTCAGTGATGATTTATCATTTAATTTTTCAAACTAATTTAAACTCATTCAAACTGATTCAAACCTTTCTAATACTTCAAAACTGATACTTGAGGATTTTTAAGTATTTAAATTTTCCATGTTTTAAATTAGTTTTAATATTTATGCATTACTCCATCCTTCAAACAAAATCCTACCTCAAGTACGACAACTACTGCTAATGTCAATTAAACTAGAACTTTCCCCTCTACTTCAACTGCTATTGCTCCTATTTCTACTTTCTCTACTTCACTGCTATTGCATACTTCTTTTATTCTCAAACTACTTCTACTGCTGACATGACTACTAGTATCACGACTTGACTTCTTATCATACTACTTCTAGTACTACAACTTAAACTTATGCCACTTCTCACCTTCCTGCCTTTTAAGGCAATTTCCTTCTTCATTCAAACTTTGTGCAATTTTAGACATTTTTCTAGCCTCTTTCAGCATGAATAAAATTTCCTTTTATAGAGCATATTCATACTATTTGTCCTTCAACTTACTATACTTCTTTTTCACCCCTTCAACAGCTTTAACATTTATACCTTTCTCCATGTTTTATTAGCAATTTAGCATTGCTTTTTCAGCTTTCAGCACTCAGCATTTCCACGCATTTTCTGCAAGGAAATGCAACTTTTCTAGTTAAACTTATTATTTTTCTTCCGTACCTTTTTTGGACCGCTTCTCCTCCTTCAAACTTTGTCCGATTTCAACCGTTCAAACTTTAAACTATTCCACTCCTTCAGGACATGATGCTTGTATTTTTTTCTTTCTATCCTTTTATACTTTTTATTTTTTAACTTTTTGTGCAAAAATTTTCCCATTGAAGTCAATGGGGAAATCTTCCATTCTTCCTTTTATTCTTCCACCTTCTAAGCCTTATAACTTCAGCATACTTTCACCTAGAGACCTCATTTTTGCTTTAAAATGTTCATTCACTTGTCGACTATTAATGTTGTATTCAGTTTTTTGTGCTATCTTTACAGTTTTTCCACAATTTAGCTTTATGCAACTTGTGGTTTTCAGCAAATTTCAGGCTTTATAATGGGTGTGTATTGGAGAGTTTAGAGTGATGATGTCATCAGCTAGAGTGCAGACCTCGTCTCTGATCGACAGAACCTCGCTCGAATATATCGCTCCCACGCTCACAAATCTCACTCCACACCCATAAAAAATACATCAAAATGGAGGTATATGTGTCCTGCTTCTCACAAAAGAGGTTTCAAATCATTAAATCTTACCCCTTGGCCAGCAGGTGACCAACTGTCCAAAAAAGGCGGAAATCTCTCCCCATTAGACCTAATGTATTTCTTCTCCAAGAAAATCCGGATCATCGCTCAGGCTCAGACTTTTTTAACTCGCTGTTGTGGCCTCATTTTTCGAAGTACAGACATGAAAAAGACATCATTGTGTTCATGAAGGACGGAGGATTCGTACAATGTTCTTATTTTCATTCTGTGACTTAAGGAAATCACGCTATGTGAAGAAGTTTAGAGCCTCTAAATCCTCTGCAGTTCAGCTGCTTCTCATTCAAACAGTAGGTCAGTGATTTGCCTTTGATCTCACAGCTGTTTAGGATGCAGTCATTAACGAGACACACACACACACACACACACACACACATTCTTGTACTTGTTGCTTTATGAGGTCTACCTTGCAGTTGAGCTGCTTGTACACACAGTTAATATGTGTCTGCTTCACCACCTATCTCCACCCACAAACTTTGAGCTACAGAAACCATTCTGGGCTTCTAAAATTCAGCTCATTGAAGATATTATGGGGTGTTTTGAGGATTGTGATAATAAATTGTATTAATGTGTTCAGCAGAGTCTTGTGTTCTCACAAGCTCCTTATCATGAATATATACAGAGGATGAGCGTCAGGGCCTACTTGGAGTCCTGTTTCCTTAGCTTCAAGCCTTCTTTCTCCTGCTATAGTTATGCATCCAAGGTCCCCATGGCAACCAATTTGTGCACCTGGAGACACACAGCTGACTGGAAAGCTGCTTCTATGGCCATATGAGACACATGAAGCCAGGCTCAGTACACATAGCACTGGGGATGACACTTAAAACCCTTTACTAGAGCGCTTGAAAAAACTTCAGCCCCTATCTCCTCACATGACCTTTGACCTACAGAAACCATTCAGGGCTTTAAAATTTGAGCTCATTGAGGACATTATGGGGTGTATTTAGGATTTATATTCATTTAGATTTTTCACATTTTAAAGTCACTCAGTGATGATTTATCATTTAATTTTTCAAACTAATTTGAACTGATTCAAACTGATTCAAACCTTTCTAATACTTAAAAAATTAAACTTATGCCACTTCTCACCTTCCTGCCTTTTAAGGCAATTTCCTTCTTCATTCAAACTTTGTGCAATTTTAGACATTTTTCTAGCCTCTTTCAGCATGAATAAAATTTCTTTTTATAGAGCATATTCATACTATTTGTCCTTCAACCAATTAATCAATTATCCAACTTACATTTCTTTCTCACCCCTTCAACAGCTTTAACATTTATACCTTTCTCCATGTTTTATTAGCAGTTTAGCATTGCTTTTTCAGCTTTCAGCACTCAGCATTTCCACGCATTTTCTGCAAGGAAATGCAATTTTTCTAGTATTATACTTAACACTCTCACCATACGTTTCTTTGGACCGCTTCTCCTCCTTCAAACTTTGTCCGATTTCAACCGTTCAAACTTTTAACTATTCCACTCCTTCAGGACATGATGGCTATTACTTTTCTCTTTTCTACCCTTTATACTTTTTATTATTTTTCACTTTTTGTGCCAAACTTTTTTCCCATAGAAATGAATGGGGAAATCTTTCAATTCTTCCTGTTATTCGTCCACCTTCTAAGCCTTATAACTTCAGCATACTTTCACCTAGAGACCTCATTTTTGCTTTAAAATGTTCATTGTCTTGTCGACTATTGATATTGTATTAACCTTTTTGTGCTATCTTTTACAGTTTTTCCACAATTTAGCTTTATGCAACTTGTGGTTTTCAGCAAATTTCAGGCTTTATAATAGGGGTGTATTGGAGAGGCTAGAGTGAGGATTTGAAAAGCTAGAGTGCAGACCTCGTCTCTGATCGACAGAACCTCGCTCGAATATATCGCTCCCACGCCCACAAATCTCACTCCACTGACACAAAAAATACATCAAAATGGAGGTATATGTGTCCTGCTTCTCACAAATGAGGTTTCAAATCATTAAATCCTACCCTTTAGCCAGCAGGTGACCAACTGTCCAAATAGTCGGAAATCTCTCTCCATTAGACCTAATGTACTTCTTCTCCAAGAAAATCCTTTTCCCCACTCAGGTTCAGACTTTTTTAACTCGCTGTTGTGGCCACATTTTTCGGAGTACAGACATGAAAAAGACATCATTGTGTTCATGAAGGACGGAGGATTCGTACGATGTTCTTATTTTCATTCTGGGACTTAAGGAAATCACGCTATGTGAAGAAGTTCACAGGCTGAAATTCACTGCAGTTCAGCTGCTTCTCATTCAAACAGTAGGTTAGTGATTTGCCTTTGATCTCACAGCTGTTTAGGATGCAGTCATTAAGGAGACACACACACACACACGCACACACATTCTTGTACTTGTTGCTTTTTGAGGTCCACCTTGCAGTTCAGCTGCTTGTACACACAGTTAATATGTGTCTGCTTCACCACCTATCTCCACCCACAAACTTTGAGCTACGGAAACCATTCTGGGCTTCAAAAATTCAGCTCATTGAAGATATTATGGGGTGTTTTGAGGATTGTGATAATAAATTGTATTAATGTGTTCAGCAGAGTCTTGTGTTCTCACAAGCTCCTTATGAATATATACAGAGGGTGAGCGTCAGGGCCTACTTGGAGTCCTGTTTCTTTAGCTTCAAGCCTTCTTTCTCCTGCTATAGTTATGCATCCAAGGTCCCCATGGCAACCAATTTGTGCACCTGGAGACACACAGCTGACTGGAAAGCTGCTTCTAGTGGCCATATGAGACACATGAAGCCAGGCTCAGTACACATAGCACTGGGGATGACACTTAAAACCCTTTCCTAGAGCGTTGGAAAAAACTTCAGCCCCTATCTCCTCATATGACCTTTGACCTACAGAAACCATTCAGGGCTTTGAAATTTAAGCTCATTGAGGACATTATTGGGTGTATTTAGGATTGTTATTCATTTAAATTTTTCACATTTTAAAACTCAGTCAGTGATGATTTATCATTTAATTTTTCAAACTAATTTAAACTCATTCAAACTGATTCAAACCTTTCTAATACTTCAAAACTTTCTGATACTTGAGGACTTTTAAAAATTTAAAATTTCCCTGTTTTAAATTAGTTTTAATATTTATGCATTACTCCATCATTCAAACAAAATCCTACCTCAAGTACGACAACTACTCCTAATGTCAATTAAACTAGAACTTTCCCCTCTACTTCAACTGCTATTGCTCCTATTTCTACTTTCTTTACTACTTTGACTTATACTTCTTTTATTCTCAATCTACTTCTACTGCTGACATGACTACTAGTATCACGACTTGAATTCTTATCATACTACTTCTAGTACTACAATTTAAACTTATGCCACTTCTCACCTTCCTGCCTTTTAAGGCAATTTCCTTCTTCATTCAAACTTTATGCAATTTTCGACATTTTTCTAGCCTCTTTCAGCATGAATAAAATTTCCTTTTATAGAGCATATTCATACTATTTGTCCTTCAACCAATTAATCAATTATCCAACTTATATTTCTTTTTCACCCCTTCAACAGCTTTAACATTTATACCTTTCTCCATGTTTTATTAGCAGTTTAGCATTGCTTTTTCAGCTTTCAGCACTCAGCATTTCCACGCATTTTCTGCAAGGAAATGCAATTTTTCTAGTTAAGTGGAAATGCTGATAGGCATTTCCACTTATTGTTATTCTCCCGTTTCTTTATTATTATTAAGTGGAAATGCTGATTAAGCATTTCCACTTATTGTTATTCTCCTGTTTCTTTAATCTTATTATTTTTATTCTTCCGCCGTTTTTTGTCACGCTTCTCCTCCTTCAAACTTTGTCCGATTTCAACCATTCAAACTTTAAACTATTCCACTCCTTCAGGACATGTGTGCTTGTATTTTTTTCCTTTCTACCTTTTATACTTTTTGTTTTTTTTTAACTTTTTGTGCAAAAATTTTAACATTGAAGTCAATGGGGAAATCTTCCACTTCTTCCTTTTATTCTTCCACCTTCTAGACCTTATAACTTCAGCATACTTTCACCTAGAGACCTCATTTTTGCTTTAAAATGTTCATTCACTTGTCGACTATTAAAGTTGTACTCAGTTTTTTGATATCTTGTACAGTTTTTCCACAATTTAGCTTTAAGCAACTTGTGGTTTTCAGCAAATTTTCAGGCTTTATAATGGGTGTGTATTGGAGAGTTTAGAGTGATGATGTCATCAGCTAGAGTGCAGAGCTCGTCTCTGATCGACAGAACCTCGCTCGAATATATCGCTCCCACGCTCACAAATCTCACTCCACACCCATAAAAAATACATCAAAATGGAGGTATATGTGTCCTGCTTCTCACAAAAGAGGTTTCAAATCATGAAATCGTACCCTTTGGCCAGCAGGTGACCAACTGTCCAAATAGGCGGAAATCTCTCCCCATTAGACCTAATGTATTTCTTCTCCAAGAAAATCCTTATCCCCACTCAGGCTCAGACTTTTTTAACTCGCTGTTGTGGCCAATTTTTCGGAGTACAGACATGAAAAAGACATCATTGTGTTCATGAAGGCCGGAGGATTCGTACGATGTTCTTATTTTCATTCTGGGACTTAAGGAAATCACGCTATGTGAAGAAGTTCAGAGGCTATAAATCCTCAGCAGTTCAGCACCTCTCAGTCAAACAGTAGGTTAGTGATTTGCCTTTGATCTCACAGCTGTTTAGGATGCAATCATTAACGAGACACACACACACACACACACACATTCTTGTACTTGTTGCTTTGTGAGGTCTACCTTGCAGCTCAGCTGCTTGTACACACAGGTAATATGTGTCTGCTTCACCACCTATCTCCACCCACAAACTGTGAGCTACAGAAACCATTCTGGGCTTCAAAAATTCAGCTCATTGAAGATATTATGGGGTGTTTTGAGGATTGTGATAATAAATTGTATGAATGTGTTCAGCAGAGTCTTGTGTTCTCACAAGCTCCTTATCATGAATAAATATACAGACGGTGAGCGTCAGGGTCTACTTGGAGTCCTGTTTCCTTAGCTTCAAGCCATCTTTCTCCTGCTATAGTTATGCATCCAATGTCCCCATGGCAACCAATTTGTGCACCTGGAGACACACAGCTGACTGGAAAGCTGCTTCTAATGGCCATATGAGACACATGAAGCCAGGCTCAGTACACATAGCACTGGGGATGACACTTAAAACCCTTTCCTAGAGCGCTTGAAAAAACTTCAGCCCCTATCTCCTCACATGACCTTTGACCTACAGAAACCAATCAGGGCTTTAAAATTTAAGCTCATTGAGGACATTATGGGGTGTATTCAGGATTTATATTCATTTATATTTTTCACATTTTAAAGTCACTCAGTGATGATTTATCATTTATTTTTTTAAACTAATTTAAACTCATTCAAACTGAATCAAGCCTTTCTAATACTCTCTGATACTTGAGGATTTTTAATTATTTAAATTTTCCCTGTTTTAAATTAATTTTAATATTTATGCATTACTCCATCCTTCAAACAGTAGGTCAGTTAATGCCTTTGATCTTACAGCTGATTAGGATGCAATCATTAACGAGACACACACACACTCAGTCAGCCTCCTTCTCTCTATGAGACCTTCAAGTACACACAGAAAATATGTGCATGCTTGAGTCTCTCTCTCTGTCTATGAGACCTGAACACACTTTGACCATGTGTCTGCTTCACCACCTATCTTCTCTCACAAACTTTGAGATACAGAGACATTTAGGGCTTCAAAAATTCAGCTCATTGAGGACATTATGGAGTCTACAGAGGATTTCTATTCATTTAAATTGTCCTTAATTTAAAATCATTCTCATTATTTATGCATTATTCAATTCTTCTAATAAATTTAAACTCATTCTTATTCAAACCTCTCTGATTCTTCAAACCTTTCTAATACTTTAGGATTTTCTATTAGTTATATTTTCCCCACTTTAAATCATTTTTACTATTCATGCATATTTCAATTCTTCAAACAAAATCCCACTTCCACTTCTACAACTACTACTTACATCACTTCTACTTCAACTAGTCTTGCTACTATTAGTACTAGAAAACAATTAAAATGAATTGATTGAACCACTGCCTTTCCGTCGTGTGAAGTCTGACATTTCCGAGTGTCCCTGAACGCCTCAAACATTTATACCGTGACCCACTGATGGCTCGCGCTAACCTTCTCCGACCTCAACGAAGGTGAGTCAGAGCACAGTCTCTCTAACTTCTGAACACGTCAAACGGTGATTTAACGTTTCAAATGGCACTGGTTTGAGTTATAATCAATGAAGAGTTCATTCATGATTGAAGTGGTCGAGATAATGAGTTGAAAAAGCGTACGCTAACGCTGTTAGCGTCGAGTTAGCGGCGCTAGCTAGCGCCGCTAGCGTCGAGCTAGTTAAAGCTAGCATACCTTCAGCTGTGAGGCTGAATCATTAGCCAGCTGAGCACAAAATAAAGTGAATATGTAAGCCGCTGCGGTACTATAAAGCATGCCAAATGATGTACAGGCTGTGGAGTTTACTGACAATGGGACTGACAAGAATACTCATATTGTCAAGTATTAACTGACTAACTAGCTAACTAATGACGCTAGCGCCATTGCTACAGGTTCAGTTCATTACTGTGACTGAGTCATTGCTGGGGAACTGGTCTGGAGACGTCAGCTGTTTAGCTCCTGGTCACTTTTTATCAGCCATTGTAGATGTATTAAAATATAGGCTGCATTTAGCAAGCATCCAGGTATAGCACAAATGTGAGTGGTTTTCCTTTTTTTATGTGTCAGAATGGACCTAGATGGTCCTCTATTATTGAAGGTTTTATTCATGATGGGGATGATAGAGATATTTACATTGCAAAACATAAAATGAATTCAGTATTCAATGTTTAACAATATGAAGTTCCAATTAATAAATATATTCCAGTTGAATTTCCCTTTAGGGATCAATAAAGTTCTTATCTTAATATGGAGTTGATGGATGGAGAGTTAGCTGCCTTGAAGTTGGTGAACCTGCTCCTGGTCTGTCTCTGTCTTGCTGGCTGCTACTGAACTTCACCTTCTACTGTACCTAATTTACCTTTGATAACAAGCTGTTAATTTGGATATTGGTGATGTGCTAACACCACAGCAAAGATACTTTATCTGAGGTATAAGTACTTTAATACAGTATGTATTATGTGTGACATTTTCAGCTGCAGCTAACAGCCAGGTGATCTGTTGGAGCTGTTTAGTTTTCAATTAGCCCAACTACTGTAATAATGTTAGTTTTCTTTATAGGCCTATTGTTTTTAATGTGCTATCTGTCAGACAACACTAATGTATTGTTTCTTGTCTCAAACAAACAGAAGATACATCCTCACCAGTGCATTTGTTGGTAAGTATAAGTGTTTTGACCAAGACTGACAACAAACAAAATAAAAATAACTGGATTAATGATTAGCTTAATCCTGTTCAACAACATGTCATTCAAGATAATGTACAACATATGATGCATTTTTCAAGTACTGAGTTTAAATTGATATGAAATGTTGATCTATCTGTAACACTGTTGTATATCCTATATGAAAATCATAGATGGGATACAGTTTTTTCCTAGAAGACAATAGTGTGCTAACAATATTACTACACTACTGAATTAATTTATTTAAAAAAATGCTGGCAAAAGTCTGAATCTTGATTGTGACAATAATTAAGTGAGAAAATCATTCAGATAAATTTTGAAGTGTTTTTTTGTAGTGTATTAAAAAGTCTCTTTCCCTCCCTCTCCCCCCTCCTCCTGCCTCAACTTGTCCTCTGACCTGGGCGAAAATCCCTTCCAACTCTGAAGTGTAAGTTCACGCTTACAGTCAGGTCCATAAATATTGGGACATCAGCATAATACTCATCTCTCTGGCTGTAAACACCACCACAGTTGACTTTAAATGAAACAAACAAGATGTGCTTTGACTGCAGACATTCAGCTTTAATATATGGTTATTTACATCCACATTAGGTGAAAGGTGTAGGAATTAAAACAGTTTGTATATGTGCCTCTCACTTTCTAAGGGACCAAAAGTATTGGGACAAACCAAAAATCATACATCAAACTTTCACTTTTCAATATATGGTTGCAAATCCTTTGCTGTCTAGGACAGATAGATACACCAGACGCTCGGTTTCACCCCTAGTGTTGCTCTGCCAGGCCTCGACTGCAACTGTCTTCAGTTCCTGCTTGTTCTTGGTGCATTTTCTCTTTAGTTTTATCTTCAGCAAGTGAAATGCACGCTCAAACGGATTCAGGTCAGGTGATTGACTTGGCCATTTCATAACATTCCACTTATTTGCCCTACATCGTGCACCTGATTTGGATGTAAATACCCTTAAATTAAAGCTGAATGTCTGCAGTCAAAGCACACCATGTTTGTTTCAGTTCAAATCCATTGTGGTGGTGTTTACAGCCAGAGAGATGAGGATTGTGTTGACGTCCCAATATTTATGGACCTGATGGTATATATATACTTATTGGGCAATCACTTAAATGTTACATTTTTGCTCTGCAGTTTATAATTATATTTCACTGTTTTGTATTTCACCTCAATAACTTGCATAAGAAAGTAAAAAGTGAAGAGGTCCTTCATTGTGTTTGTGCATTTTCTCTCCATTGTAACAAACATTTTTTACAGGCCAAGGGAGCTGCAGTAACATCCTTTTACTAATCAAGTGCCACAAATTGTAGACTTTGATAAGAAATGAGAAAACTAATGATCCACAGTGAAAAGTTGTGATTGCAGTAAACTATAAGATGCTGATTTTTTTGCAACTAAATTTATTTACTTTTTGTCCCTGTCTTTTCTCTCCTGAACTCGATGCTATCTCTACTGCTGGCCCTATTCAGTGTTGGCGACTCAGCTGTAAGTTCACAAATAAAGTAATTTAAAAATGTTTACACTGTTACTTTTTTAAACATATCATGTAAAAACCTGACATTATGTACTTATTTGACAAACTGCAACACATTTATTGTAACACAAACCATTTTAAATAACACTTAATTAATTTTGCCGGCTGACTACAGTTGAAACTGCAATGCAGTGAGATACAATTAAACTAAAAATCTCTTGTCTCTATTTTTCCATTTTCCTTTTTGCCAACTTTGTCCTGTCTCCAAGTGCAGACCGCTTTGTGGCGACTCGACGTAAGTTCACACAGGAATTACATTTCATGAGTAATACAGTGTGCCATTATTCAACACATTATGGACCCCTCATCATGTCCTAACTTAACAATTTGTTTCCTTTGATTATGTAATACTCACAGTTGGAAATGAACAGCTTGAATGTAATATGCAGTACACTTATTTGCATTTCATTTCCAATCCCTGGAAAGCAATTTATTACTATTAGATTGTGGAGTTGGAATTTTTTAACGATGAAAATCCAAATAATTACTAATTGAATGTGATTCCCTCCTTTGTGCATCTCTCATATTAAAAAAAACAAGCAAATTTAATGTTCTTTAATATGGAATAGACAATCATTATTTATGCAGCCATTGATTTATTTTATTATTCATTTAATCCTATGTTTAGATATGTGTATATCCTTCTAAGGTACCTTGCATGCTTCTGTTTACAGCTCATGGAGGTGCTTGGCCTCATTACTACTTTTTACATTGTTGGAATACTTAAAACACAGTAAAGGAAATTACCTTCTCCAAAATACATAATATTTTATCAGCAGAGTAATCCATTGTTACTTTTGCTTAGCAGGACATGGTTATGAACATTATAAAGGGAACTTAAAGTACTTAAAGAGTCTAAAATACACAGGGATAATAGAACTTTTTGTAAAATACTTTGAGGTCCTAAATTTAAAAAGGTGGCTCTGTGGTTGGATTCAAGTTTGACTCACTGGAGGATGTGGTGGAGAGATGTACTGTGAGGAAGGTGGAGGCTATTCTAGAGAACATGGCTCACCCACTTCACAACACCTTGGTGGACCGAAAGGCCTATGGTGGTGGACGGCTCCTCTCTCTTCGCTGCAGGAAAAAAAGATTCAAAAGATCTTTTGTACCCACAGCCATGAGACTCTACAATTTAAATAGTAGATGACTTTTTCAGACGTGACAAATGAGACTATAGACAATTGAATTTCCCTTAGGGGATAAATAAAGTTCTTCGTATCTTAAATTAATTTTTGATTAACTATAATGAACACTTTGGATTTTTAGTCCTTATTAATTTGTTTGAAGGGTTATCGAACAAGACAATGGTCACTTCCAGCTTTTGACTCAACTTGACTTTTGATAGATGTATAATTGAGGACAGCCACTTGATGGGTTGAGTAAAAGTACATTATGATGCCATTAGCTTTGGGTGGATGTTGGTTTATTTTATTTTATTTCTTTAATAAAAAGGGATTAATGTTTGTTTCCATTGTGTCTTACAGGTATCCTGTCCAGTCTCCCCACTCTCCCCTATCATTTTGATCGCTCTGTCTTTCCTGTCTCCTCTACCACTCTGTCTGATTGAAAAGCACTCTGTCTTGTGTCCCCCTTTCTTCTATCCCTCTGGCTAAGTTTTGGACGCTCTGTCTTTCCTGTCTCCTCTACCACTCTGTCTGATTGAAAAGCAACTCTGTCTTTCTATCCCCCTTCTATCCCACTCTGACTCATTGCAGAACTTTTCAGAACTTTGCAGAACTTTTCAGAACTTTGCAGAACATTTCAGAACTTTGCAGAACTTTTCAGAACTTTGCAGAACTTTTCAGAACTTTGCAGAACTTTGCAGAACTTTGCACTTTGCAGAACATTTGAGAACCTATTTTGAGAACCTATTTTGAGAACCTATTTTGAGAACCTATTTTGAGAAACCTTTTGAAACAAGCAACCTTTCTTTGAGTCAAAACTTTTGAAACGGAAGTACATTTAATACAACCGCTATTTTGAAAAATCCCTAATTTTGCACAAGTCTGATTGTTGTTCTAGGTCCTCCTCTCCTGTCTGTGAATCCAGAGTTTCGCCAGAAGACGTGTCGTCAGCTACACCACATCTGCATACCTGACTTTGAAAGAACATAAAAACACGTTTTATATAGAATATTTGAGTTGCATAGTATTTCAAACACAAAGTTCTAAGATTAAAAAATTGTTGATTTGTGTTTTTTCTTCAAACATTTACATAGTCTTGCCTAGGATTTCCTTAGAAAACATTTGATAAACTATTGTTGGTATACACACAGTTATAAATTAGATTTTTTGGAGACTATAAGAGCTGTAAATAACGTCCTCTTGAAGAAATAAAGCATTTTTGTCTATACTGGTGCTTATCAGTAACTTTTAATTGTTGCATAAACACATTGTTGTGAAAGAACAGTTACAATGCCAAGGAAGAGTAAGAGGTCACAGGTTGCAAGCCAGCGCTGGCAGAGGTTTCATGACATTGACCGTGTGAGTACTGAACAAGCAGATGGTATTCCTCAGAGCAGTGGAGAGGTAAAGAGGTCTGAAGTGTCTGATGCTGTGAAACAGGGAGGTGAAAATGCATCATGTCAACCACAGGTATCTTATGCAGACGTGCTTAAGAGGAGACGTGTAAGTGAGTCACCTGCAGCAGGTCCTTCTAACTCTCATCAGGTGAACTACAGAGCCCAAACTGAAAAGCCATGCTCAACCCAGGTATCACATGCAGACACTGTTAAGAAGGGAAACCACAGTAATTATCAGTCTGTATCAGGCTCTTCTCGGGTAAGAAATGTTAACGCTGTTAATCAGTCAGGAGAACAAAACGTCTGTGCGTCACGCAGCCAAGCATCTCTGAAATATGGCCAATCCAGAAACCAGCAGTGCACCTGTAACTCACTGACATTTCTAGCATTCCTGTATGAGAGTGAACACATCACCAGAGCAGATCTGGACCGTGTTTTGGATAAAGGTGATGTGATGTACAGAGAAGTCAGAAAAACTGTTCGTGATCACGCCCATCTGACAACCGATGAGCTCCCTAAAGAGGTTCCTGCACGCAGACACACGCAGATTTTTGACAAGTCACAGCTGTCTAGATACGGTACGTTTGGAGATCCGGATCCTGGAGCTGTTGATACCTTTCTGGACCTCGTTTCAGGACTGAGCTGCTTATTAACAGATGTGCAGTATGCTTTGCTGCTAATGACTTCACTGTGCATTGCAGTTTTCAGAACCAGAGATGGCAGGTACGGTTTCTTTGACCCACATGCTAGGACAGCTAACGGTTTGCCTCTGCTTAAAGCCACACCTACTCCTGGTACCGCTGTCATGGTAACATTCACACGCCTCAGTGACATGATTGCTAGGCTCATCAGGTATCACCACATATTGGGCACAGCAGCGTCCTGTCGCTATGAGCTCAAGCCAGTTGTGTTCTGTGATGTGAACCCAAGTGATGCTATCCCAGCCACAGAAAGTCCATCCACAACTCCCTCTGTAACAACCACTGTGATAAATGATGACACAAGTGCTCCACAGATGAACACTGATGTCCATGAAAACACTGAATGTGACATGGAAACTGAACCAGAACCACTGATCGACTTCAGCCAGTGTTCTGTCACATTAACTGGTCCTGAATCTCTCGCTCCAGAGATTAACACTACTGTAAGTAATGACACATCACAGAATGTTTCAATTTTGATGGAAATACAAGCTCATCAACCAGGTCAGATCAGCATGAATTCTGTCACAGAGGAAACTCAAGAGACACAATCAAATTTGACACAACCATTTATAACTATCCCTGTTGCCAGTGACAATGTTATCCATGACATCGCCACTAAACTGTCAAAATTAAGCAAAGAGCGAAAACTGAAATTTAAGAGGAGACTAATGAGATCTGAAAAGACATCACAAGAGAAAAAAGATAAAAACAGTAAAGAGAGAGAAAAGTATGCTAAGAATGAAACATACAAAGCAAAGAAAAAGTCTTATTCAAGTAAAAACTATTCTGTCAATCCTGAAATACAGACAAAGAAAAGAAAAAAGATCACAACTAAATACAGAGAAAGCACAGACTTCAGACTAAAGCAAAAAGACTATATGAATAAGAAATACAGAGAAAATGTTGAATTCAGAGGCAGAAGAAAAGAATATATCACTAAAAATTACAGAGAAAATGTTGAATTCAAAGGCAGACAAAAAGAATATATCACTAAAAATTACAGAGAAAATGTCGAATTTAAAGGCAGACAGAAAGAATATTTCAGGAAAAAATATTCAGTGGACATTAATTTCCGACAGAGAAAGCGATCCTATGATAATCATCGATATGCAAATGATGAAATATTCCGTAACCGACACAGACAGCTGATGAGACAAATGATGCGAGACAGGTACAAGACAAATCTTGCATACAGGACTATGCATAAAATGAGGTGTGCATTGAAAATATCAAAGAAATACAAACGGATAAGTAAACAAACATGTGAGACTGACAGAGAGAGTGAAAACCCACTTATTGAAAGTGCCATAAATGATTTCAGATCACACATTAAAGCTGGTCCCACCCATGTTTGCACAGTTTGTCACAAAGCCTCATTTCCAAACCAGGTGCAAAAGTGCAAGAGGTCCAACTATGTGAAAAATCCAATCATGGTTTCAGCTTGTCTCAAAGGTCAGTACGTCCATGATTGTAACGATGACTGCAGAAATAAGTGCACTGTCCCTGATGAGAGAAAGACTGAGTGGATTTGTCACACCTGCCATGACCATCTGAAAAATGGATCCATGCCCAAACTTGCCATAGCAAACAACTTGGAGCTTGCTGACATACCACCTGAGCTGTGTGACCTCAACATACTGGAGAGACATCTGATAGCAAAGTGCATAACATTTGCCAAAATCATTCCTCTTCCCAAAGGCAGACAGAGAGCTATACATGGTAATGTTGTATGTGTTCCCTCTGAAGTCCAGGAAACAATTCAGGCTCTACCCAGATTGAGAAATGAATCTCAGGTGATGAGAGTAAAACTGAAGAGACGTTTGAGTTACAGAGGTCACCATCTGTTTCAGACTGTTACCTGGTCCAAGCTAGTGCAGGCTCTGCATAAACTGAAAGAGATACACCCCCAGTATGAAGACATCACTATTAGAGATGAGGAGGAGTTATGTGACCCCACACTTCCTGATGATGGTGATGAGGATGAGGATGAGGATGATGGTAATGATATCACAATGAATGATGATGACTATGATGATGAGGATTTGATGGAAATTGATAGAATTGAGGCTGCTGCCATGTATGAGGCTGAAACTAACATTGAAACTGAGGATGAGAACACAGAGCTGTGTGATAAAAGTCAGACCCAGGACAATGATGATCAGACACAACAAAAGGATTCAGACGTGCATAATGGTGGTGTTGTTTTGGAGTCGTGCCTTCAGCCACGTGATGTTTCTGAGGAGATATTGTGTTTCAGTGACTCTACATACTCAGTAGCTCCAGCAGAGAGAAACAATCCAGTCAGTTTTTTCAAAACACCCAAATTAGAGGCCATGGCGTTCCCTGTTCAGTTTCCCACTGGTGAGAATACACTGGATGAAAACAGACCAATGAAACTATCACCCAGTAGTTATTTTAAAGCAAGGCTCTTTGGTGTTGATGATCGCTTTGCCAGAGATACCAACTACCTGTTCTTTGCACAGTTTGTGACCGAAATACACTTGGCTACCTCCAGCATGTCAATTCAGTTACGCAAAGGCAAACCTTTGACCAGAGATGGACGTAAAATAACATCCAGAATGTTGAGAGACAAATATGAAGTGGAGAGACTGGTGAGAAACAGAGATGCTATCAGATTTATGCAGCCGCTCAGAGGAACACCAGCCTACTGGGACAAAACTACAAAAGATCTGTTTGCTATGATCAGACAGTTGGGCAGTCCTACGTTCTTTGTCACATTTTCTGCAGCAGAAATGCGTTGGCCTGAGGTGATTATTGCAATAAAATCACAACAAGGTGAGGAGGTGAATTTTGAAGAGCTCGACTGGTCCACAAAGTGTGACATTCTCAGAAGCAATCCTGTGACAACGATGCGCATGTTTGATAAGCGTGTTGAAGCACTGTACAGAGATCTGATCATGTCTCCTGCACAACCCCTGGGCAAAGTTTTTGACTTCTTTTGGCGTCTCGAGTTTCAGCACAGAGGAAGTCCTCATATACATGGTCTTTTGTGGGTAGAAGGTGCACCTGTGTTTGAGAGAGACTCTGATAAAACTGTGTGTGACTTTGTGTCCAAACACATCTCTGCTCAGCTCCCTGACCCAAATAAACAGCCTGAACTGTACAAAAAGGTCAAAGAAGTGCAAATACACAGTAAGAACCACTCAAAGACATGTTTCAAAAGTGCAAATTCTGGATGCAGATTTGGATTCCCAAAACCACCCTCCAGACAGACAATGATAACCAGACCTGTGGGTGATGATGAGGAGTCAGAGAGACTTAAGAGAGCCAAAGAGAAACTTGCACCACTGAATCAGCTGCTGAATGAGACACAAACTGAATCCATGAGTTTTCAACAGCTCCTGTCTGTCTGTGACTTAACCGCTGATGAGTATGAGAAACACATGAATGTGATGAGTCAGTCCAGCAACATCATTCTGAAGCGTGAGCCTAAAGACTGCTGGGTAAACACCTACAACCCTCACCTGCTCAAAGCTTGGGATGCAAACATTGATGTGCAGTTCATTCTCAGCTACTACAGTCTGATCCATTACATATGTACGTACATGTGTAAAAGTGAGAACTCTGTGAGCCAGTACCTGCAAACACTCATTCAGAACTCCGACAGAGAATGTGTCAATGAATGTGATGAAATGAAAGCGGTCATGCAGGCGTATTCCAAAAAGCGAGAAGTATCAGCACAAGAAGCTGTTGCCCGAGTGACTTCACTGAACATGAAAAAGAGTTCACGCAGTGTGGTTTTTGTCCCAACTGATGACAACCCAGTGAAAATGAGTCTGCCTGTGTCAAGCCTTGACAACACAACACCAGACAGCTTGAATGTGTGGATGACATCCTTAACAGACAAGTACAAATCCAGACCTGAATCACCAGAGTTTGAAGAGATGTGCATGGCTGATTTTGCGTCTACCTGCAGACTGGTGTATGGACAACAGACCAAGGGCAAGAAAGTGGTACCTTTGCTGAATGAACTAGGCTTTATACAGAGACGAGAAAGTGACAACGCTGCTGTCATCAGGTATCGCCGCATATCCAAAGAGAAATACCCTGAGCAGTTTTACGGCACATTGCTTAGACTGTATCTTCCATACAGATCAGACGATGAGCTGAAAAGACCATATTTTCCCACGTATGAGTCATTCTATGAGAGAGGTGTGGTTCAGCTGCCGTATTCTGACCGACCCCTGAGTGTGAAACTCATTGTGAAAAGAAACAGAGAGAGATATGAAAAAAACAGTGAGGAAATTGACTCTGCTCTCGAGGACTTTGAACAGAACAGAGGTGTGGTCGATGAATGGTGTAATTTGGCACCTGAATCTGAACTGGTGAGGTTGGAGTGTATCGATGAACTGGATGCCAGACAGTGTGAAAATGTCCAAGAGGATGTACCGGATTACAGCAGACAATCAAATGCTGCTACAGAGGCCAGAGTCATGAGAGAGCCCCCTACAATCGATCCCACACGGTTACGACAAATGTATCAGAGTCTGAACCAGAAACAGGCATGTGTGTTCTATGCAGTGAGAGACTGGTGCATAAAACGAGTCTGTGGACGACAACCAGAGCAGTTTTTCTACTACATCAATGGTGGTGCTGGCACTGGAAAGTCACATCTCATTAAATGCATTCATTCAGAAGCATCAAAGATTCTGAGAACACTACCTACACGTGCTGAGGAAGCTGACATCTCAAACCCGACTGTGCTGTTGACTGCTTTCACTGGAACTGCAGCCTTTAACATCTCTGGAACAACACTGCACTCTCTTCTCAAGCTGCCCAGAAGTTTGAAACCTCCTTTTCAAGGTCTTGGGAACCAACTTGATGAAATCAGGTGTGAGCTTTTAAACGCTGAAATCATCATCATTGATGAAATCTCCATGGTGTCGAAGCCTCTGTTTGCCTATGTGGATGTGAGACTGAAACAGATTAAAGGCAGCCACAAACCCTTTGGAGGAATGTCAGTCATTGCTGTGGGAGACTTTTACCAGCTACCGCCTGTGCGACAGTCCAAACCACTGTGTGTCTATGATCCAAGTGAGCTTGACCTCTGGAGAGACAACTTCCAGGTGATCACTTTGGATGAGATCATGCGACAGAAGGATGACAAAACTTTTGCCGAGATGCTGAACAGACTCCGTGTGAAAACAAGGTCAGATGAGCTTTCTGAAGCTGACAGAACTCTGCTGTCACAGCGTGTCACTGAACCACAACTGTGTCCCTCTGATGTGCTGCACATTTTTGCTACCAACAAACAAGTCGCAGAACACAACTCTGCTACACTATCTCTGCTCCATTCTGATATCACCACCATTGATGCAGATGACTTTAAAAAGGACCCACACACTGGACACATGAAAAGACAAGGTGCACCATGTCATGGAAGCAGAAATGATCTACCTGACACCCTAGATGTTGCAGTAGGTGCTAGAGTCATGCTTACCAGAAACATTGATGTGTCTCAAGGATTGGTGAACGGATCATTTGCTACAGTAGGCCGTCTCATAAGCTCTGAAAACAACAGTTCTACTCTTGTCACTATGCTTGGTCTCAGGATGGATGATGAAACAGCTGGCAGGAGCTATCGTACTAGAGGAGACAATCTTGTGTACATCGAGAGATCTGAAGAGGCTCTGCAACAGAAAGGAGTGGTACGCAGACAGTTTCCTGTGAAACTTGCCTTTGCATGCACAATACACAAGGTTCAAGGTATGACCAGAAAATCAACTGTTGTCTCACTGAAGCACATTTTTGAGCCCGGCATGGCCTACGTAGCTATCAGTCGAGTGACCTCTCTCAGCGGACTGCACATGCTTGATTTGGATGACAGTAAAATCTATGCTAACCCTGCAGTCACTGTATCTTTGGAGACCATGACACAAGCTAACTTTGATCACCTCATGCCTTTTCTCCAGATCCAGCATTCTCTCTGCAGACAGGACACTGTGAGCATCATTCATCACAACACCCAAGGATTACCTGCTCATGTGAATGACATCAAAAGCCATCATGAACTGTGTCTTGCAGATGTTTTGTGTCTGACAGAAACTCACCTACAGGGCTCCTTTGTGGCAGACAGTCTCCAGTTTGAGGGCTACACCATGTTCAAACGCAACAGACACCTGTCCTACACTAACTTTCCACAGATGGCCAGTAAAGGAGGTGGTGGAGTCGCTGTTTATGTGAAAAACCATTTGCAGGTTGTGGAGAAACAGTACCTGAATAATGTGACTGACCTTGAGTTTGTGGCTTTGAAGGTTGAATCTCCTGTAAGTGCTCTGATTGCAGCTGTGTACAGACCTCCAGACTACAGTGTGCCATCATTCCTGTCCAATCTGGGAAGCCTTCTGGACTCACTTGAGATCATGGACTGTCATCCCATCATCGTCTGTGGCGACTTCAATGAGAATCTCTTTTCTAATGCAAGTAAGCCAATTTTGGATTTCTTTCAGTCCAAGGGATATGGTCAACTGATCACTGCTGCTACAACGGACAAGAACACACTGCTGGACCTGATCTTCATCTCACGACCTCAGCTATGTCTCTCCTCAGGTATCATGCAGACGTACTACAGTTACCACAACGCCACTTACTGTGTCATTTCATCCAACAGGTCATAGAGGAAACTGCTCTGAAGGAAAAGACAAACCAGAGAAGTTGTGGCTAATGTTCTGCTCATATTTTTATTAGAAATTGAAATGTGTTTGGTGTATGTCAAATTTTCTGGTGCAAAAAATATTTTTATGGCTTAATTTCAACATTTTCAGGTAGTACAATTTTTAACTATTCAAATGTAATAAATCTTATTTTTTGGCCTGTGCATTTATCAAGTCCAGTCAAGTCAAGTTAATCCATTTAACTTGACTTGACTGGACATAGGGAGGGTGGGTGCGGATTGATAAATGCACAGGCCAAAACTCTCAGCTGCTGTGTACAATACTGTATACAGCAGCTAAAATTAAAAACCTCCATCAGAAAGTGTGTGTTCCCTAATGAACACACACTGTCTGATGTTCTGTTACCTACCAGCTGAAACCCCCCTTTTCTCCACCCAACTTTACACCACTCTCTTAGCATGGGTGGCTGTAAGTACACTAGAGCAAACCTAAGTTTCCTTTTCTTTGGGTAGTTATTTATTTATTTAATTATTTTTTTCAGTTGTCTCTGCCATCTTTAACCTGATTCCCATTAGTACTATCCTGACTAGCTCACTGTAAACTGAAAAAATTATCAAACTGTCAACCAAAAGTAAACACATCACCTGTAGGTACAGTAGAGTAAAGCTAAGTTTCCTTTTGTTTGGGTATTTTTTTTTTCTTCTTCAGTTGTCTCTGCCATCTTTGACCTGACCATTAGTGCTGTCCTGACTATCTCACTGTGAGCAGAAAAAAAATATCAAACCGTCAACCAGAAGTAAACACATCACTTTGGACAACTCAAAGACACAGTCTACCTGCTGTTTAACCCAGTCTTTGGTCGGAGGTGAAGAAGAGATGACATCCTCCACACCATCCCCCTGCTGCTCTCAACAACCATCATCGCTGTGCTGGACAGAGACTGCAGCACCCACCAGGACCCTTCTCTCATGGACTACACAAACATGTGTTTTACCTGCTTGTGCTCCAGATGTCCTGAAGCAGCTCTCAAGGACTACCAGACACCAGGCTGGAGCAGAACTGATGCTGTAGCACCTGTCACTCACTGGGCTCGTTCCTGCTGAACCTCCAAGAAATAAACCCCTCTTCAAGAAAGTCTGAGGTAATGTCTTGGTGAACTTGTGTTCATTTATTTATTCTTAGTAATCTTAGCTGCTGTATTAATGCTTGTGACGCTATTGTACAGCTCTGCTGATATCATCGTCTTTAACAGCAGTGTTTTCTCCCAGGTCTTCTTCAAGCCAGTTAAGAGAGGAAGAACAGCTTAGACACTCAGACAGCTGAACACACCAAAGGTGGACATCATGCAGCCACCCTGAGCCTTGAGCCTCCCTGTGTGAGGAAGCTTTGCTGCTGCAGACCTGGTGAAGTGGCTCTGGACAGAAATATTTTTGCTCTGCTGCAGTGCTGAAGGTATTCATTGTAATGATGTGTGTATTTATTCAATATGTTTAGTTTCACAGATTATCAACACAAATGTTTCTGTTTATTTCCTGTTTTGAACCAGCTACATTCTCCTACTTCAAGTCACTGTCTGTTCATCCACGGTGTAGCCAGTGCAACTCAGCAGAGTCCTACTGACGGTGATCCTACAAGTCCTGCAGTCCTGTGAAGCAAGCTGCAGCAAATGTCATCACATTCAGATCATCAGTTTATCTTTACTGCAGCTTTAAAGTTTCCCTGAGGTAACGGTGTATTTCCTTGCCCCATAACAATAACCATGTTTGACCAACATAGAAAAGCACAGAATTACTGTTAGCACAGGATTACATAGTTAAAGTGAAGGGGATTTTGTTTGTTTTTTTCAGACCTCTCCTCCTCCTGCCTCTGACTCCAGTGATGCTGTCAACTCGAACACTGATAACTGCACACAGCGATTCTACAACCACAGGTCAAAGGTCAAATCATTACCTCACTCTAAACCTTCACTCTGAACTGTACCGGGCTCTGCTTTTGGTTTTGAAAAAAGTGCCCAGACAGAACACAGTACTCACTTGAGGAACTGACTGATTGTCTTCAGGACAGGACAACTATTACTCTTGTATTGTTTTGAATCCTGTTTTCTACATTAAGTGATCGGTTGTCAATATCTGTTAATATTTTCAGTTTCCTTTATGTTTCTTGGACTTTATTTTTTCTATTTTATTTTAGTATTTTCTTCCCCTTTTACTGTGAATCTGTCCTTATATCAAAAGATGACCAACACTGATGAAGGGAAAAAATACCAGTTACTTCAGTTGTTGCAGGCAGCTGAATTTCTCGTTTTAATATGCTCACAATATCCTTCAAATTTACCTACAAGAGAAGACGTGTTTTAGAAATAAATGATGTTCTTTGGGTTTCAGCTGGTAGGTACACTGAAATTTTTCACGTGTGCTTAGTCTTGGGCTAATATTTTGGACAGCAGTGATCCCAGCATTACAGTGTCAAACAAGTTCTGCTGAAGGTTTGTCTTCAAAATGCTCAAAACACAGGACTTGGTTAAACGAGCTGTGTGGAGGGATTTCATAGAGGAACAAAGTTTTTATGCTTATCCTTAAAATGTAATTCTCCATAGTAGAAAACTTTTTAAAAAGAAACTATCAACATGAAGACAACCCAGCATTTCAGTAAGACAAGTAGTGTGAATGTTTGGATAAGAAAACACAGTATCTAAAATGCTGACCAGATTGTCAGTCCACTACAATGAGCTGGTGACAGTATTAGCCTTGGTCTAACTACTGTGAAAAGCCTTTTGGGTGGTAAGGTGGACCAATACATGCTATAAAAAATACCTTAGTGCCATATTTAAGTTATTAACCTTTCATCTTACTTTGCCTGTATATTTCCGCAAGCCTGGATGACTTTGCACCTTTTGCATTTGCATTCTTTACCTTACCCTCAACATTATTTTAAATTTTAAATTTAGATTTAATTTAAATTTTTTATTTGAGTTATTGAGTTATTTTTGCAAACAAAAATGCTGACCAGATTGTCAGTCCACTACAATGAGCTGATGACAGTATTAGCCTTGGTCTACTGTGAAAAGCGTTTTGGTGGTAAGGTGGACCAATACATTTCATCAATTTATTTCAAGTTCTCAAATCTACTTTTTAATCTGATCATTTTAGATTTTGTTTAAAGTTTCAGTTTCATATCATTTAATTTTATTTATTATTATAATTATTTATTATTCTATAATTTTCTTTTTTTTCTACATGAGAGGGCCCACATTTCACTGCAGTTAGCTTTAAAAAATACTACAATGCCATATTTAATTCATAAGCCTTTCACCTTACTTTGCCTGTATATTTCCACAAGCCTGGATAACTTTTAATTATTTGCATTTGCATTCTTTACCTCACCCTTCACATTATTTTACATTTATTCTATACTTGTTGTTTTTCACATTTATGTTGTTATACTGCTGACCGATTTTAGTAACTATTTTTTTTATAACTCTCAAGTCACCATTTTCATATTTTTTTTTATGTGTAGGTATAATAAAGGTTTTTCAGCTGTGCAAGCTTAGTCTTAGGCTAACCTAAACCCTTAAAAACACGCATAACAGTCCTGTATCAGACTTTGAAGTCAAATTTCAAGGTCTGTCTTTAAAGCCCACAACACAGGACTTGGCTCAATGGGCCATGACAAATTTTATGAGCCAACTTTTGAGGCTTAGTAATCCGAAAACACAAGAAAAGAGGTGAATGTGGGTCCAGGGCTGCTGGAGTTTGAATCCAGTAAATAAAGGGGTGTTAGCCTCAGTCTAACCACCATGTGAAGAGCCTTTAATGATTGGGCTGAACAATATTACAAACCACTAAAATCTTGATACCTTTCTTTCACTTACCCCACCCAACTTCACACGACTCTCTTAGTGTGCATGGGTAGTACACTAGAGCAAATCTAAGTTTCCATTTGTTTGGCTATGTTTTTGTTAATCTTTTTTTTTTTCAGTCGTATCTTCCATCTTTGACCAAACCTCCATTAGCACTGACTAGCTTCTAAGCTGAAGAAATGATCAAACTGAAATAGAAAAAGAAATAACCACATCACTTTGGACAACTCAAGACACAGTCTACCTGCTGTTGGTCAGAGGTGAATCAGAGATGACATCCTCCACACTGTCTCTCTGCTGCTCTCAACAACCATCCTACACTGTGCTGGAGCTGAACAGAGACTGCAGCACTCACCAGGACCCTGGTGAGTCCTCTTATCTCATGGACTTGACAAACATGTGTTTTACCTGCTATTGCTCCAGATGTACTGAAGCAGCTCTCAATGACCACCAGACACCAGGCTGGAGCAGAACTGATGCTGTAGCACCTGTCACTCAGTGGGCTCTTCTCTGCTGGACCTCCCAGAAATATGCCCTTCCTCAACAAAGCCTGAGGTAATGTCTTAGTGAACTTGTGTTCATTTATTTATTCTTGGTAATCTTAGCTGCTGTATTATTGCTTGCGACTTCATTGTACAGCTCTGCTGATAACATCGTCGTTAACATTAGTGATTTCTGTCAGATCTTCTTCAAGCCGGCTATGGAGGAAGAACAGCTCAGACACTCGGGCAGCTGAAATCGCTTAAAGTGGACATCATGCAGCCATCCAAAAGGCTCTCTGTGTGAGGAAACCTTGCTGCATGCAGACCACGTGAAGTGGCTCTGGACAGAAATATTTGTTCAATTGTATTGGTATTCATTGTAATGGTGTGTATATTTCTTGAACATGTTTGGTTTTGTATATTATCAACACAAATGTTTCGGTTTATTTCCTATTTTGAACCAGCTACATTCTCCTACTTCAAATCACTGTCTGTTTATCCACAGTGTAGCCAGTGCAGATGGTGATCCTACAAGTCCTGCAGTCCTGTGAAGCAAGCTGCAGCAAATGTCAACACATTCAGATCATCAGTTTAACCTCGCTACAGCTTTAAACTTTCCCTGAGGTAACCGTGTATTTCCTTGCCCCATAACAATAATCATGTTTGACCAACATAGAAAAGCACAGTACTACTGTTAGCACTGGATTTTTGTATTGATTACACTGTTAAAGTAAAGGGGATTTTTCTTTGTTTTGTTTTTTCAGGCCTCTCCTCCTGCTGCCTCTGACTCCAGTCATGCTGTCAACTCGAACACTGATAACTGCACACAGTGATTCTACAACTACAGGTCAAAGGTCAAAACCGTCCCAACTTTAAACCTTCACTCTGAACTGTACCGGGCTCTGCTTTTGGTTTTGAAAAAAGTGCCCAAACAGAACACAGTACTCACATGAGGAACTGACTGATTGTCTTTAGGACAGGACAACTATTACTGTTGTATTGTTTTGAATCCTGTTGTCCACATTGTGTGATCCACTGTATCTGTTGTTATTTCAAGTTTCCTTTGTGTTTCTTTAACTTGATTTTTTTTTTTTGTGTTTTCTTTCCCTTTTACCATGTATCTGTCCTCATATCAAAAGATGACTGACAATGATGAAGGGAAAAAAAACTGTTCCTTCAGTTGTTGCAGGCAGCTAAACTTTCCTCATGTTATAATATGCTTACCGTATTTCCCCAATTTACCTACAAGAGACGACATGTTTTTAGAAACAAAATATGTACTTTGGGTTTCAGCTGGTAGGTACACTGAAGGTTTTTCACATGTGCTTAGTCTTGGGCTAATATTTTGGACAGCAGTGATCTAAGCATTACAGTGTCAAACAAGTTCTGCTGAAGGTTTGTCTTCAAAATGCTCAAAACACAGGACTTGGTTAAAACGAGCTGTGTGAACTAAGTTATTAACAGTCCTGTATCATACTTTGAAATCAAATTTCAAGGTCTGTCTTTAAAGCCCACAACACAGGACTTGGCTTAAGGAGCCATGACAAATTTTATGACACTTAGAAAAGAAAAGAGGTGAATGTGGGTCCAGGGCTGCTGGAGTTTGAATCCAGTGAGTAATGGGGTGTTAGCCTCAGTCTAACCACCATGTGAAGAGCCTTTAATGATTGGGCGGAAGAATATTAGAAACCACTGAAATTGTGATACCTTTGTTCATCAAGAATCACAGCAACTACAATATTGAAACCTCAAGCTTAAAACACACACTGGTCACCCATGCAAAGATTTTTGTCGTTTGGTCTTGTTTTTTTTTTATTAATATTATCATCAGGGTTAGCTATCTAAAGGCACCTGTATTCCTAGGGAGAAATTAAGTAAGAAAACCAGAACTTAACAAAAGAGCAAAAACAAAGACTCAAGCAAAGAGTTTACAAAAGGAAAGAGTAAACTTTAAAGACTTAAAATAAAGAAACTCAAATTATGGCAAAACAGCCAACACAGCAGCCTGGTATCAGGGGCAGCGGTGAGGACGGGCTGGGCACTGCAAAACAAACAAATAAATCAATAAATCTGTCATGGAAACATGCCACTTAAATTAGTATTTTAAATGTAACACTACCTACCGAAAGAAAGGGCTCAGCAAGCCAGCAACCCAGGGCTCCGCAGGTGATGGCTGAGAGAGAAAGAATATATTATATTAACATATGTTATATATTATTCTTATGTATATATATATATCCTCAAAACAACTTCCATTTAGTGCCCCTCAGTGGCCAAAAAAGCCACTACTTTGTTTGCTGTAAAATCATACTGAATTAATATTTTTTTCAGATTTTTTTTAATACATCTCTTATTTTCCTTCTCCCCTGTTAAAAACTAGCAAATGTTTCATTGAAGGAAAACGACCTATTTTTATTATAAAACATAATCTGAAGCTGGTGATTTTTTACATGGTACTGACTACCACCTGCTGTTAGTGAGAGAGAATGCACTTATGGAATCACTTCATCAATGCAGTTTTTAGGTCATTTTCCTTCCATTTTTTTTGCTATATTGGTGACTTTATGTCTTAAATTGGCCCTTAAAGGGTTAAAAAATGAATATAATACAGGCAGACAACAAAATGCCTTACCAGTGCGTGTGGGGGAAGCCTATCACATGCAGGGCCACACCCTGATGGGAAAGTCGCCTCCTTTTACAAAGAATGTTGGGAGCGGGACACAGTTTTTCCAGGGCAGCAAAATTCACTGCCCTGTGGAACTTCAGGTAAGAGCAGAGACTCTACTGCATCCGGCCTCACCACAGGTAGCACTGGGTCAGTGCCAAGAGCATCAGGGCCTGGTGTCGTTAGAGGGAGAGGTTGTAGAGGTCAGTATTAGCTTCTATGGTACAACCATTGATCTGGGAAATTAAAAACATCACAAATCACAAGAAAAAAAAATATATTTTTAATTAAATAAATTACCTAATACAAAATTTCCTCCTGTATGGCTGTCTGCTGTGAGAAAAGTAGAGTCAGGGAAAGAGGCTGTGCCTCTCAGGAAGCTCTCAGCTTGTCCTGCGGGAGACTGCAGCTCGAAAATTGCTGGTACCCCTCTGTTTAAGACATAAAATGTTATATAAGTCACTGAAATAACCTAAAAATGACAAAAGTAATAAAACAATAAATATGTCTGTGTATGAATATATGCTGAATAACATCTATGTAATGCATAAATCCTGATGAAATAATACATGAATTAATGCAGATGTGTCATTGATGCTTTTTTCTCACTCAACACAAATGAGCCTGTCACTTTGAATTCATGTGATTATTCCACACTCAATAGATCATGAAATGATGCTAATTCACAGTCAGTTCATGCATGCATTGATGTGACTAAATCAGCTTGGTTTCTCATACATTACTTGTAGCAACATGCATCTGCTTGAGATACACACACACACTTCGGTATTGTAAAGAGAATTGTTTTCAAATGAATGTTAACCAAAGATAAATCCGTTTGCTACAGAAATGTATTTATTTGAGAACATTTTCGTTTCTGCATACTCTGTTACATTATAATTACAAAACAGTTTATTTTGTTTGATAACAGGCGGTATGTTCAGCCTGACAATGCTGCCTGGAGGGTTCCCACTCTTTTCCAGAAATCATTTTCCAGGACATTTTCAGTGGTGTTCAAGCTGGTATGACAGTCTAAATTTAGTTCTTAAATAGTCTAATATGTTCCTCTCAGTAAGCATCTTCATTGAAAGACGTGCTGTCTGTGGCTACCTATGAAATCACCTCTTACATACTTAAAAATTATGCCAAACAGATTATAGAATAATGCATCCACAGATGAACAGCACCTCACTTAATGCAAGCAAGTAACAATGAACATCTCAGCCTTTCCTTTACTAAAAAAAAAAATAGAAAATTAACTAAGTACAAAACAAAAGAGCCAGCAAAGGAATCTGGAAGCTGTCTTTCTGAAATAAATAACAGTAATAATAATAACCATCAGAGGATAAATTGAATCAAAGTACATAAATTTACCTTAATAGAACTAAATGAGAATAATGGCCTTACATTTTTTCTGAACTAAACACAAAATATACCTCATTCATCAGGAACATTCATCCAGCCAAGTGGTCTGTTATTGTGCTATTTGATTTACACTGATGGGTCCTATTCATTGTGCATGCATATTATTAACGCATCATGTTTTATATGTTACAGATCTATAAACACTGTTGTGAATTGGCGTTTGTCTAAGGTATGATAAGGTTGTATTTCACTCTCACTTTCGCTGGGCTCAGAGCGGAACACAGACTTTGAAGTGCGACCCCAGCTCAGTTAGCAAGAAAAACAGACAAACGCGATTGAGCGCAAGCTAAAATGACAATAACAATAACATTACCGTCAACTCAGAGGTTTAAAAAAGAACAGTCTTCTTGCGTGGCGATGTCTACATCTTGATCACAGATGTCTACATAGTGCAGTTTCTGTGCAGCTGTGTCGCTCTTTTTGTCCCCCTTTCCCCCGTTTGTTTTCACTATCGGGAGATTGCACTGCTACTAGCTACAGTACGGTAATTGAGCTCGGAGCCTGCAGGGAAAGTTTTGTAGCACAGACCCCCAAGCTCTCTGCCCGACCAATGTTGACAGATTGGACGCTTTTGTAGTCCCGTTAGAATAATTTTCCAGGACAAAACATGATTTTCCATGACATTTCACTTTTTCTCCCATTTTCCATGGGTTTTGCAGTACTGGTGAGCTGTTTCTCAAGACGCGTGGGAGCCCAGAATTAGCTTGTTAGCGATGTTAGAAAAACTACCTAATTATATCATAACTCACATAATTAAGAGCAAAATAACTGTTGTAAACCTTCACATATGAAAATATGTAAAAAAGAAAAAAAATATTTTGCATAATTAGACGCACCTTTGAGTCATGCACAAGCGGTCCTCTTCTCTCCGCAGATAACGATCTGCGCGGGCTGCATGCGCAAAGGTGTTCTTCTTCTTCATTGGGTTATTTTGGTGGTTGACAAACAACAAATTGGCGCATTAGCGCCACCAATTGATGTGGACTGAGTATTGCGGCGCTCACTCAATTTTATCAAAAGCAGATTAGATAGATAGATAGATAGATAGATAGATAGATAGATAGATAGATAGATAGATAGATAGATAGATAGATACTATACTTTACTTTCCGACAGTGATACAACACATTTAGCAAGCACATACAGTGTTTCCTCTAGGGCTGGAATCTATGTGTGAATTTGAGTTGCGGTGCGGGGGTGGTGGTGGTGGTGGTGGTGGGGGGGGGGGTGTCGTTGCGCGAATTCGTGGGGGTTATGAATCAGCAGTGAGTTCGCTGAAGATGACTTAGTTATTAACCCATTAAGACCTAAACCCTGTCTGAGACACGCCTCTGAAAGGACAACTTTGAGAAGGGCCCCCAGATCCTGAGGTTTTCTGAAGTTTTGAGGTTTATAAAAAAGCTGACATCTCAGCCTCTGTAACAGATATATACAAAATTCATAAGCTCTCAAAAAATGTATAAGCTCTCTCTGTCTATCTTTTATCTCTCTGAACCGGCATCACATTTCTGAAAACCTTGAGCACACAAACTCAACTGAAATAAACCGGCTGTATCAATAAAAGTAAAGGCTCCGCACTGGAGAATAAGAAACTATTTGCTTACTATTTGGGGGGGGGGGGGGGGTAATGAATCAGCAGTGACAACGCCGACAATAACTCACAAATCCTAATACTAGGCGCGTGCACGTATGTATATACACATGAGTCCAAGACAGAGAGAAAGCACCTAATTTTAAAGGTGTGGCAGCTTTTATTTAGCCGTGGCGGTGCGCCACGTTCTATTGCATGTAGGGGCCTCCGGGCTCTCTTCCCCGGGCTCCAGGCTCTCCATGCCTGGGCCTCCGGAGCTCCTCCCCGGGCTCCAGGCTCTCCATGCCCGGCCTCCGGGCTCTCTTCCCGGAGCTCCGGGCTCTCCCCGGGCTCCAGGCTCTCCATGCCCGGCCTTCGGGCTCTCTTCCCGGGGCTCCAGGCTCTCCATGCCTGGGCCTCCGGAGCTCCTCCCCGGGCTCCAGGCTCTCCATGCCCGGCCTCCGGGCTTTCTTCCCGGTGCTCCGGGCTCTCCCCGGGCTCCAGGCTCTCCATGCCGGCCTCCGGGCTCTCTTCCCGGGACTCCTGGCTCTCCATGCCCGACCTCCGGAGCTCCTCCACGGCCTCCAGGCTCTCCATGCCCGGCCTCCACATCTCTTCCCCGGGCTCCCAGGCTGTCCATGCCCGGGCCTCCACACCTCTTCCCCGGGCTCCAAGCACTCCATGCCATGCCTCCAGGCTCTCCACGCCCGGGCTCCACATCTCCTCCCCGGGCTCCAGGCTCTCCATGCCTGGCCTCCACACCTCTTCCCCGGGCTCCAGGCTCTCCATGCCTGGCCTCCACACCTCTTCCCCGGGCTCCAGGCTCTCCACGCCCGGGCCCCCACATCTCCTCCCCGGGCTCCAGGCTCTCCATGCCCTGACACATTTCAATCATGGACTGAGAGTGTTTGAACAGCTATTTCATCCACCGAACATCAGAATTGAATGAAGCTTTACATGCCACTAGGTATGGACGTCTAAGAGTGGGCTATGTGTGTAAGGAAAAGTTTGTGTGCTCCTGCGTAGGCACAGGTGCAAATCTGCCACCATGTTTATAGCCGGGTATGCCGTGAGCGGAGTTTTTACAGTCGATAATCCAACGTCCAAGCTCTGCAGTGTGGGAAAAAGAGAGGGGGACATTTGGACAATTTCAACTTTGCATGAGGATGCACAGGTCCTTCGGATCATTAGGTGAGAATATATCACATCTTAAGTGTGCAGTTAGTTTTTACATGCGCGCAATCAGAGTAATCACGGTCATATTTTGGTTAGAGATGGATAACCACTTATGAGTCCTTTCTTACAAATAACCCCTGATTTTTATATGCCCATCGCTTAAAGTAATTTAATGTGAACAAATGAATTCGACCACATTCGATTTGTTAGAGGAGGAGGCTTGAGAAAAGGTGAAGTTGGTGTGTTTTTCCGCTCAAACAGACTCACCTATTTAGAACGCACACTTGATCAATAAATGCATGTCTTATATTCAAGTCTTTTGTCATGGCGCACAAAAACTGGCATAAAAAGGGTGATACAGCAAACTTTTTTATTCATTATTTTTAATGGTCAGGGCTGAAGTTGTTTAAGAGATTTGAGTCCAAAAAATTAAAAACAATAATTATTTTATCAACACTTAACTGCATATGCATTTTGGGGACAAACTAGGCTGGGTGGAGCTCAGAATAAGAAAAGATGGCACTACAAAAAAAATTTAAATGCACCGATGGAGCTAAAATACGGAAAGCCTGCAGCCTGCAGTTATAGTTTTGAGGCACTAATCTTGTTAGAATAATTTTACTGGACAATAACAATACTTGGTTTTCCATGTCACCCATTTTCCAGTACTGGAAAACTCCTCAGCTGTTTTCCAGATTTTCCAGTACGCGTGGCTGATTCACGCATTAAGCCCTTATGAGTTTGATACCGTCATTTTCACCTGAAAGAATGATTCCATATTTTTCAGCAGCAACACACTGTAGGTTCCCCCTAATCCAAGTCTGTCCGTTGTGTCCTTGGGCAAGACACTTAACCCACCTTGCTCCCAGTGTGTGTCCTCCACTGGTGTATGATTGTGAGTGTTGTGTGGTGGTGGTCGGAGAGGCCGTAGGCGCAGAATGGCAGCCACGTTTCCACCACCACCACCAAAGTGTGACTGTGTGAGCGAATGAATGATGTATCCAATGTAAAGCGCTTTGAGGGTCTCTGATAAAGTGCTATATGAAATCTGATGCATTATTATTATTATTATTAGGTTGAAGTAACACCGAATCAGTGTAATTACCGCTCTCACGTGAACGAAAATCATATTGCAAAGTATAATGCACAATTTCACTATGTGGATTTTCTCATACTGATAACATGATGCACAAAGAACAACAAACTGACACATCAGTAGCGAGTAGCACTAGCCAGAGACAATAATTAACATGTCTTTCAGCTCGGAAATGGTCTGTTTGGCCAGAAAGGGCAGAAGAAGAACGACGAACGGGAAATATATTGTACATACCGCAACAGTCAAAAAATTGAAAAAGCTTCTTTTTAAATAGTTTTATGTATATATATGTATATTTATATATATATATCTATTTTTCACATTTTAGATTACTAACGAACGTTTTAAAAATATGTAAATTCAATATATTATATTCAATAGATATATAAAAGACAGAGGGAAGGGAAGCAGGAAGTCACTAGCCGGTCATCGGCTATTGTTTGTGAGGTAAACAACTGGCGCGAAAACAACAGGAAGAGACAGTGCTCATTAAGGCAGCGGTCAGTTGTTCCCACGGAAGACAACAGGACAGAGGAGATCGACGATTGAAGTGGGTGAAACAAATATAAAGCGATAGCTTACTCCAAGCTCCATAATTTTGTGTTATATATTTCGTTTTTATATTGTTTGATATAATTTTGCAGGTTAATTTAGTTGTTATTTTAGGGAGAGCAGGTTTGTATGATTCTACCGGTAAGGTACCTAGCATGAATGAGAGTTCACACGGAGTTCATACCGGTCACCATTTTGGACAACTTCTCATTCAATGGTTAAATTTTTCTAAGATTTGATCCATTTTGACATTGTAGACTGATACTGAACATATTAAACGATTAAATAGCAATGTACAGAGATAAAAATTGGGGGGGGGGGGGGTACAGGACGTCACTGTTAGATGGCTATTATCCTTTGTAAGAAAAACTATAGGCGCGAAAATTGTAGAACCATAAGAGACAGTTTTATCATTCACAAAAGACGAAGAGGACGACGAAAAACAAAAGTAACTTACAGAAATATAAGGAAATACTTCAAGTTCGTTTATTTAGAGTTTGTTTGAAATTGGTTTACTGGTGAAATTTGATTAGGGAGAGCAGATTTGTCATAACCTAAGGTATAGGCAATAGTTAACACGAACGAGGATCCAGAATACAGTTCCCGCCTTCACATATAGCCTAGCAAACAGCACATCTCGCGCACACAGTAACAGAGGGGGCATTACGGCCAGCGGGTGGATGGACACACAAACCGAGGATGTATACGGGAATGTACTTGAAACCTGCGGTGAATGTGACGTTACGAAGGGAAAATGAACGCCGCCCTCTTTTAAACTTACATCGGCGAATAGCGAATGGGCGAAGAGTTCATGGACTAACTCTTCCCAGCAACTGACAAAACACTAGTCCTGCGGGGATAGCCAATCACACAGAAAAAGCGGCCCCGCGGAAGAGCCAATCAAGGACATTGTGGGCGGTCCAAACCGAGGGAAACCAGTTTTCGGCTTCAACCCATAGACTGTATATAAGATGGACAGAGTCTGCCTTCTCGCTGGGTGAAGCCACTCCGAGAACAGCAGCCTCTGATGGTGGGCTGCAGTGCAGGTCATAAATCCCGCCTCCGCCAGCGAAGTTTATGGGACTGTGGATAAACTTTAGAAATTTATTACACAGAACATACATTTTTTCTCCCCCCTGCTTGTGATGTTGACATGTAGTTATTGTAAGACTGGTTTGTGCCCAAGTCCTTTTTTTTCTGTACAGCTCCGTTTTTAAAAGTTATTAGGGGGTTCAGGTTTTCTATGATTGACACCTGGTACATCTTATATACAGTCTATGCTTCAACCCTACCACCCAGCCCTCTCTGAATTGATTACACACCGCTGTTAGAGATAGGTGCTCTCTAGGAATAGAAGGCAAAAAATGTAAATTTTCTTCACAACTTCTTATTCAAAGGTTTTATTTTTAGTTTTTTATTGTACATTCATACAGTACTTATTTATTCTGTTGAATAAATAAAGAAATTCATAATAAAGGGGGGAGAGGGAAGAGGACGAGGGAGGGAGTAAGTGGGAGAGAGAAAGGGATGGTGAGGGGACAAGTAAGAGAGGGAGGGATGATGGGAGTTGGAGAGAGAGAGGGGTGGTTAGAGGACAAGGGAGGGAGGGAGAGAGGGATGGTGAGATGACAAGGGAGGGAGGGAGTTGTATAGAGAGAGGGATGGTTAGAGGACAAGAGAGAGTGGTCCCTCTCTCTCCCTCTCTCCCTTGAGAGAGGGAGGGAGAGAGGGATGGTGAGAGGACAAGGGAGAGAGGGAGAGATAAGGAAGGGAGGGAAAGAGAGAGGAAAGAGGGGCAGATGGAAATGTAAAAATATAACATCCAGTTTTGTAAATAGTGTTCATAGTTCAATGTTCAAGGTGTTTTGACATTGTGTGTGTTTGCGCAGACACACACACGTTTGCGCTCACACACTATGTGTGTGTGTGCGCAAACACACACAGAGTTGTTCAATTTGTTTTGTTTTCAAAATAAATGTTATATAATAAATTGAGGAAGAAAGGGAGGGAGGGAGTGGGGGAGAGTATAATATACATATATCATATACAATACCAAACATGCTTTTTCTTCCTTTTCCCAGAATGGCACTCAGGAAACTCCTGAATTCACAGGCAGCCTCCCCATATGGACGGCTCCCGCCCCTCCACATCACATTTTTAAATGTGGCTGACACCCCAAGGGTTGTGGCTTGGGCTTTTGATGGGTCTTCGGCAAGCCCAACATGCACAAAAAATAACAAAACAGCCATCATTAGTGATGGAGAGTCCCTGGCAAAGGTCGTGCTGTTTGAGGCTGTGGCGGGAAGAGTGGCAGAGGGGCAGGCCTACTACATGCGGGGCCACACCCTGATGGGGACAGCCCCACCCTTCACAATAAATGTTGGGACTGGGACACAGTTCTTCCGGGGCGGGCAAATTCACTGCCCTGCTGAACTTGTGGCAAGAGCTGAGGCCCTGCTGCACCCAGCCTCGCCACTGATAGCACTCCATCAGTGCCGGGAGCAGCAGGGCCTGATGTCTGTGGAGGGAGTGATTGTCGAGGTTAGTATTAGCCTCTACGGTGCAGCCATGGATCTGGGAAATTAAAAACAATAAAAAAATTGCATTCTCAAATATATAAATAACTAAATACAGAATTTCCTCTGGTTTAGATGTCTGCTGTCATGAAAATGGCGTTGAGGAAAGAGGCTACGCCTCTTAGGAAGCTTCTCCTGCAGCAGGTAACTGCAGCTGTGAAAATTGTTTGTACATATGAGTCACTGAAATAACCTGAAAATGTAATAATACATAAAAATGTCTGTGTATGTATACAGTATCTCACAAAAGTCAGTACACCCCTAATTTTTCTGCCAATATTTCATGATATCTTTTCATGGGATAACACAAAACGATATGACACTTTGATACCATGTTCAATAGTCAGTGTACAGCTTGTGTAACAGTGTACATTTACTGTCCCTTCAAAATAACTGAACACAGAGCCATTAATGTGTACAACCATGGCAACAAAAGTGAGTACACCAGTAAGTGAAAATGTCCATATCAGGTCCAAAGTGTCAATATTTTCAGTGGCCACAAACACCGCCTTACCCCATTATGTCGGGGAGGTAAAATAGCTAAATGGGCCTGATTTGGACATTTTCACTTAGTGGTGTACTCACTTTTTTTGCCAGGGGTGTACACATTAATGGCTCTGTGTTGAGTTGTTTTGAGGGGACAGTGAATTTACACTGTTACACAAGCTGTACACTGACTGCTGTACATGGAATCAAAGTGTCATCTTTGTAGTGTTATCCCATGAAAAGATATAATTAAATATATGCAGAAATGTGAGGGACGTACTCACTTTTGTGAGATACTGCATGCTTAATAGCATTTACATAATGTATGAATCATGATCACATAACACTTGAATTAATGCAGGTGTGTCATTGATGCTGGTTTCTCACTTTACACAAATGAGCCTGTCACTTTGAATTCATGTGATTAGTTCACACTCAATCGATCGTTGAATGATGCTGATTTAAGGCAGATTCATACATACATTGATGTGACTAAATCAGCATGATATCAGATTTTCACTTGGGGATCAATAAAGTTCCACTTATCTTTCACATTCATTTTTGCTTACTTTTGCAAGATACATCTGCTCAGCCCCTCTGATTTAAATGAGACTCTGGTGTTTTTTAGAGTCGTACAATAAATACAATCATAGAATCATACAATCAATCATACAATCACAGTCATAAAATACAGGTGTTCCCTTACCTTTTACAGGACCAGTCCAACCTCAAGGTCTCCTTGTGGAGGGAGGCAGCCGTGGAGTCCCTGATTGTGGGTGAGACTGTTCGGCTCACCCACATGAAGCTCCAAAATAACGAGTATGGGATCCAGGTGAACTCCACCCACTATACAAAAATTGAGGTAATTTGTTGTTTTCATTGTTTTCAAGTAAATGCACTTCATGAAAAATAGGACTCCATTTTTTTCTCTTATCTTTACAGAATCACAATAAATTAACTAGGTTTAATAACTATTTAATTAATCAAAAAAGGATTTAAAGATGACCACACACAGACAAAATTGTTGGCACCCTTATGTTAAAGAAAGACTAACCCACATACAGTTGCACGAAAAAGTATGGTCATAGACTTCCGTAGATCCAAATTCCCTCATATATATATATATATATATATATATATATATATATATACATATATATTTTTGCGTCCCTCCTGAGAGTTTTTAGCTGTGATTTTGATCATTGTCCTTTTTGAGGACCACGGATGACAAAAGACAAAATACTGGACTATTCTGAGGTGGTTTCCCAAGTTCTGATCTAAATACTATTGAACGTCTGTGGAAGGAGCCGAAACATGCAGTCTGGAGATGACACCCTTCAAACCTGACACCACTGGAACAGTTTGCTCAATAGGAGTGGACCTAAACACCTATGGACAGGTGCACAGGTCTCTCTGAGAGTAACAGCAATCACTTGATTGCAGTAATCGCCTCAAAAGGTTGTGCAACATAGTATAAAGTTAAAGTTACCATCAATTTTATCCATGCCAGTTTTGTTAAAAAAGTTTTCTTGATTTTTAAGTGTGTTTAAATGTGTCAGTTTCATACATTTACATTTTAAAAAGTACTTCTGTTAAACCAAAATTCAAATCCAATGTCACAATTTCAATAGTTAATTTTCTGTTTATTATATTTCATTCTTACTTCTGTTCATTTCAAGTCATTTCTGTGAGCTTTGTTGCTTTAGTTTTCTTTAACAGAAAGGTACCAACAATTTTGTCTGCCTGTGTATAGCCATCTCATTGAGGGGCACTGAATTAATGGCAGGGACGATTTCTGTGGGTGGAAGTTTTGTATTGACACTTTTGTACCCTCAGGATGGGCAGGGCTTCAGGACAATAATACTCACAATGTACCCTTCCTGGCCCTTTAGATTTTCCTCCCTCTAAAGTCCCTCGTGGCTGTTAAAAGCCACTTTTTCTTTCGGCTGTAAATTCATATTGGATTAATATTTTTTTCAGATTTTTTTTCACAGATCTCTTATTTTACTTCTGCCCTGTTCGAAACTAGCAAATGTTTCATTGAAAACAATTTTTTTTAACCCTTTAGGTGCCAATTTAAGACAAAAAGTCACAAATGTAGCAAAAATTGAAGGAAAATGACCCATTTTTTTAATAAAACATGATCAGAAACTGGTAATCTCTTGCAGGGTATTAAAGTCTTGAATATGTCAGAGATAAGTAATATAATTTACTTATAAGCATTTTCAGTTTTTCTGTAGCATCAGATTTAATGAAAAACTGCCTTTGGCGCCTCCCAGTGGCCAAAACTACTTTTTCTGCTGTAAAATCATATTGGATTAATATTTTTTTCAGATTTTTTCTCATACATTTCTTATTTTACTTCTGCCCTGTTCAAAACTAGCAAATGTTTCATTAAAAATAAAAATGTTTACCCTTTAAGGGCCAATTTAAGACATAAGTCTCTTATGAAGCAAAAAATGACCTCTTTGCTTCATAAGAGACTTTATGTCTTAAATTGGCCCTTAAAGGGTTAAATTTTTATTTTCAATGAAACATTTGCTAGTTTTGAACAGTGTAGAAGTAAAATAAGAGATGTATGAAAAAAAAATCTGAAAAAAATATCAATCCAATATGATTTTACAGCAGACAAAGTAGTTTTTGCCACTGGGAGGCGCCAAAGGCAGTTTTTCATTAAATCTGATGCTACAGAAAAACTGAAAATGCATGTAAGTAAATTATATTACTAATCTCTGACATATTCAAGACTTTAATACCCTGCAAGAGATTACCAGTTTCTGATCATGTTTTATTAAAAAAATGGGTCATTTTCCTTCAATTTTTGCTAAATTTGTGACTTTTTGTCTTAAATTGGCAATTAAAGGGTTAAAAAAATTGTTTTCAATAAAACAATTGCTAGTTTCGAACAGGGCAGAAGTAAAATAAGAGATTTGTGAAAAAAAATCTGAAAAAAATATTAATCCAATATGAATTTACAGCCGACAAAACAAGTGGCTTTTAACAGCCACAAGGGACTTTAAAGGAAGTTTTCCTGTCCTGGCTTTATTATTGACCTGGTGAAAAATTTGAATTCATGTTTTCAAATAAAATGTCAAATTAAGCTTAGAAAAAAAAATTTCATCACATTTGCTGCTGTAAGACAAAAGTTATATCCAAATTAGTCTCTAGTTTTATCATCAAATGGCTGTTAAAAGCCCGAAGATCCCGGAAGGGTTAAGAAATACTGGGCCATTGTTACAGAAAACACAACTTATTCCAAATAATCTTCTTCCTTACCTGTGTTTGCTTAATTTGTCTACAGAGGCAGCAGGCGAGCCAGCACCTCATTATTGTTGGTGTCCTCACGGAGGGAGGGGCCACATCCGGCCCCCAAGAGGCAACTTACGAGGTGCTTCTGGAGGGTGGGGAGACTCTCCATATTTCAAAGGCCTTGTGGGAGCCATCTTATGATGAGGCCTTACAGGAGGGCCCCCTCAAAGCAAAAGCCACTGTGAAGGGCAAAAACATCACAGCAATTTCAGCTTTGTAAATAGTGTCCATAGTTTCATGTTCAATGTGTTTCTACGTTTAAAATATTTTTTCATGCATTTCTGTCTCACACACGCGCACATACACACACACACACACACACACACACACACACACACACACACACACACACACACACAGTTGAATTTGTTTTGTTTTAAAAATTAATGTTTGATAATAAACTGGTTTGCTACTGACATGTTTCTATTTGAGAACATTTTTTTCATTTCTGCATGATGTTACATTATAACTAGCTTTAAAAAAATACTGCATTTCGTTTTATAACGGGTGGTTTGTTCAGCCTCACGATGCTGCTTGGAGGCTATAATTAGTTTGTTAGCGATATCGGAAAAACTACCTAATCATATATTTTTTAACAGAATTTAGAGCAAAATAACTCTACCTTACCTAGTCGCGATGAACACAGGGAAATATGTACAAACATTTGATAATGTACGACAGGGCTCTCAAGTCTCACGTCCTGCAAGCTGCAACCTATCAACAATGGAACAGGTATAAACCAAGTCCGTTCCCCTGAGACAAAAGAGGCTGCGCGCCACCCGCAAGTCAATCAAATACAGTATAGCTACCGAACAGCCAATCAAAAGGTAGCATTGCTGTATCCGGGTAGATTTTGGAGACGGACACCCGCTGTGATGAAGCAGGTTTCGTAAGCACGAAAAATAGTCAATCATTACAGCAAGTCAGTGACCTACACCTGCAGAGGCCTCAACACCTCATGGCAAATAGACTCACATGATAAACTAAAGCCCTATACGATTGCTATAAACAGCTGCATTAATGGATCTAGCCTCTGTACGGCCATTTCCAGCTATTTCCCTCAAAGTCCATCTTTTTTTCTCCAGAAAAGATGCATTTCTCATAATCTTTTTAAAGTTATGATACTCATGACAATGTTATTCTGATGATCCAAAAGATAACCCCCCCCCCCCAATAAAAATACAAGAAAATTTGACTCAAAGCTTAGTTCAAAACTTGAGAGCCCTGGTATGATCAGACATGTAGCATTTAACTCATGCACACGCGGTCCTCTTACCTGCGCAGACGATGAAATGACCTGCACGGACTGCATGCGCAAAGGTCTCCTTCTCCTTCTTCACTGTTTATTTTCGTGGTTGGCAAACAACAAATCGACACGGATGTGGAGTGAAGACCTCGAGGCTTACTCAATCTTATCAAGTAAATAAATACAAAAAAGATTGTTAGTGGCGGGTTTTACACGTTTGTGTCGGGAATTACACGTGTTTTGTGTATTTTTTGGTGGGGCCATGCAGGAAAATCTCATTATGCAATCCGGAAATAACAGATATTTCTCTCATACCCTCACAACAAAAATACAGCAGCAAGTGAGAGAGGACCACAGCACATTTGACGACAAAACTACAGCTGAATGATGTCTTCACACAAACAATGTCAATCTGGCGACATATATTATCATACCAATAGCGCCACCAAATGTCAGTGTTCAAGAGCTCACAATATCAAATAGTCAAGATGGACACAGCGTGACAATAATAAAAACACAAAGACGTCAACGGCGCACAACCAACGCACAGGAATCAAAGCCACCACACACAATATACCACAGCCAAAAAGCCATTTCAGCACCAAAGACAGGTGAACAGCTCCCTTCGAGAGCCCACGTGACGTTGTGTCCACCACACACACACACACACACACACACACACACACACACACACCCACACACGTATCGCCAGTTACGCATTACTTTAATTCCACTTTTATTCAAACAATATACAAACCATATTATAAGTTCCACCTAGATCAATGGAGTCGCTTAATGTGAATCACTTTTTGAAGAGGAATGACGCTCTGCGGTCCTTCATGTGCTTAAAGTTTTCTGTTCTTTTCTGTTGCGCCGTTGACACAAAGGCGTCAACGGCGCACAACCAACGCACAGGAATCAAAGCCACCACACACAATATACCACAGCCAAAAAGCCATTTCAGCACCAAAGACCTCCTCATCAGCCAAACTCCACTCACCTGTGCTCTCCACCACACCTGCAGCTCGTCCCTGACCATCAGCCCAAGTATTTAAGCTCCAGCTCCACACACAGAGGCGGGGCAAGGGTCCTTTGGGGTTCCAAGCAAGAAATTTGTGGGGCCCCCACCCCATCCCTGCACACTGAAAAAAATCGTTTTTGATATGTATACTGAAGGCAGAAGGGGCGTGGGGGCCCCCAAGGGGGTTTGCTACGTCGCTTTCTCATAGTAAATGCCTGTTGTTGTCGTTGCCATGCAGTACATTTATTAGCACTTGGGGCACCCGGTCACTCGGGAGGATGCCCAAGTGGGGGGCCCCCTGGAAGCTTGGGCCCCAGGCAATTGCTTGGTTTGCAAGCCCCGCCTCTGTCCACACACACACCAGTTGTCTGATTGTGTTCGCAGTATGCAAGCCCTTCTGGCACTCTTTTCCGGACTGATCTCCCGTTGTCGACCTGGTCTGTTCCCGTTCCTGCCTGCTCGCCATGCCCTTGGATTGATCGTAAGGCTCGAGCCGTTTGTGCTCTGACCCTGACTGTTGGTCTGATCCGTGACAATCTAGCTCACCTTCCGTCCCTGACAGCGAGCTGGCTGTCTGTGAGTCTCGTGGTTTCCTAAACTGTTGTCTGCCCCTGACTCTCCGATTGTGTGTTCCCTGGCTGTTGTTCACGTGTCGAAAAGGACACATCATCTGTGTGTGTTGTGGAGGTATGGTCCCCGGCATACATACCGGCATCGAGGTTTTCAGCCCAGGAGACTTTAGCGAGTTTAAAAATGCGGCCGGTGCGCTGTTAATAAGGAGCATCTATGTGGCTGAGCGCTAAAGCTGCCGACTCTCCTGCAGCGATCGCGTGTTCGAGACCCGGCATAGGCAGTGAAAATTGTCTTTTCTTGTCCTCAGTAGAGACAGAAACCTGCTTCTTTGTATCTGGCTCCTTAACCGTGGGCTTTTGACACTTAAAGTCATAGGTGTTGCTGTCTGTTTCACAAAACTCTTTTCTTCATCTTTATTTTATCACACTTTATATTAATACAGACAATTATCTCTTTCACTGCCATGACACTTGTGTACCAGCAGCTGTTGGAGAAAAGTACACTCCAGTCTCCATCACAATTACGCACTCTGTGTGTCATCCTCCCACTCTCTGTGTGACACCCTGCAACCCAAACACCAAGAAAAACACAATGCAGAGCTACACAGGCTTTGTGGAGACTTTAACTTGGATCTTCACATCTACCTCCACTACTCTTGCTTCTTTAAATATATTTTTACTGCGTCTCTAACTTTTACTGCATCTATTACTTCTACCACGAGATTAACTACTTTGACTTCTACTTCCTCTATTCTAAAACTACTTCTACTGCTTACATGACTACTAATATCACTACTACAACTACCTATGATCATACTACTTCTAGTACTCCAACTTAAACTTATGCCAATTCTCACTTACCTGCCTTTTAAGGTAATTTACTTCTTCAGTCAAACTTTGTGCAGTTGTAGAAATTTTTCCAGCCTCTTTCAGCATGAATAAAATTTCAATTTGAGGAGCATATTCATACTATTTGTCCTTCAACCATTAAACCATTATCCAACTTATCCAACTTTCTTTTTCACCCTTTCGACAGCTTTAACATTTATACCTTTCTCCATGTTTTATTAGCAGTTTAGCATTGCTTTTTCAGCTTTCAGCACTCAGCATTTCCACGCATTTTCTGCAAGGAAATGCAATTTTTCTAGTTATTATTATTCTTCCGCCGTTTTTCGTCCGCTTTCTCCTCCTTCAAACTTTGTCCGATTTCAACCGTTCAAACTTTAAACTATTCCACTCCTTCAGGACACGTTTGCTATTACTTTTCACTTTTCTAACATTTATACTTTTTGTTTTTTTTAACTTTTTGTGCAAAAATTTTAACATTGAAGTCAATGGGGAAATCTTCCAATTCTTCCTTTTATTCTTCCACCTTCTAGACCTTATAACTTCAGCATACTTTCACCTAGAGACCTCATTTTTGCTTTAAAATGTTCATTCACTTGTCGACTATTACAGTTGTACTCAGTTTTTTGATATCTCTTACAGTTTTTCCACAATTTAGCTTTAAGCAACTTGTGGTTTTCAGCAAATTTCAAGCTTTATAATGGGTGTGTATTGGAGAGTTTAGAGTGATGATGTCATCAGCTAGAGTGCAGACCTCGTCTCTGATCGACAGAACCTCGCTCGAATATATCGCTCCCACGCCCACAAATCTCACTCCACTGACACAAATAATACATCAAAATGGAGGTATATGTGTCCTGCTTCTCACAAAAGAGGTTTCAAATCATTAAATCGTACCCCTTGGCCAGCAGGTGACCAACTGTCCAAAAAAGGCGGAAATCTCTCCCATTGACCATAATGTTATTTTTCTCCAAGAAAATCCGGATCATCGCTCAGGCTCAGACTTTTTTAACTCGCTGTTGTGGCCTCATTTTTCGAAGTACAGACATGAAAAACACATCATTGTGTTCATGAAGGACGGGGGATTCGTACGATGTTCTTATTTTCATTCTGGGACTTAAGGAAATCACGCTATGTGAAGAAGTTTAGAGCCTCTAAATCCTCAGCAGTTCAGCTGCTTCTCATTCAAACAGTAGGTCAGTGATTTGCCTTTGATCTCACAGCTGTTTAGGATGCAGTCATTAACGAGACACACACACACACACACACACATTCTTGTACTTGTTGCTTTATGAGGTCTACCTTGCAGTTCAGCTGCTTGTACACACAGTTAATATGTGTCTGCTTCCCACCTATCTCCACCCACAAACTTTGAGCTACAGAAACCATTCTGGGCTTCAAAAATTCAGCTCATTGAAGATATTATGGGGTGTTTTGAGGATTGTGATAATAAATTGTATTAATGTGTTCAGCAGAGTCTTGTGTTCTCACAAGCTCCTTATCAGGAATATATACAGAGGATGAGTGTCAGGGCCTACTTGGAGTCCTGTTTCCTTAGCTTCAAGCCTTCTTTCTCCTGCTATAGTTATGCATCCAAGGTCCCCATGGCAACCAATTTGTGCACCTGGAGACACACAGCTGACTGGAA